ACACTGTATTAAAACACTGTATTAATAAAAGCAGTTACCAGATTAGTGCAATTGGAATGCAAAATTTGTAATATCTCATTGTCACAAAAAGTACAGTGAATTATGCTACAAAATTCTATTGCTGTGAAACCTTATAACCTTTGTTGCTTTCCTTTTTTTTCAAATTATATAATTATACGTTGGAAATGTATTGTTTTGTTAGAAAAATATAATATTTTCTGTCTTCTTCTTATGAAAGAAATTTAAAAAAATTCAATTATAGTTTAAAGAATTTAAAATTTCCATTTCTACCTACGTTATCATAACTTCTACCTTTAATACAGCCGCTTTATGATTTGAAATGCAAATCATTCATTCAAAAGTTTCATCGATGCCTTTAATCTGTTTTGTGAATTACGTTCTTTATTGACGTACATATTGTATCGAGGACCGAATTGCTCTGTAAGCGTTTGATATTAACGAGTAAAGTAATTGGTGAATTTCTACAAAAGATGATATTGGCTTTTGTAATACGTATATTTAGTTTCTTGATGTATGAGCTAACAAATATTTCTGTACTGGCATATATATATATATATATATATATATATATATATATATATATATATATATATATATATATATATATATATATATATATATACACATGAAGAATGTTAGTTTCAGTTGTCGAAAACAGTAAATGGTTGCATTAATTCTTGATACATGTATATATCATATTTCTACAAATTATGACAATAACACACATTCTGTATTATTGTCTGACGTCATGGCGTCAGACAGTACTAGATTTAGCCAAGGCTTGTTGGTCAAGTCGTTCAATAGAATTCTTGTGATAACTTGATCTTGGAAACTTCATATTCAGTTGGAGAGCATGGGGAGTACAGAAAACAATCATGCTAAACACCCAAACAAGCCAGAGTACTGGACCTATTTATTATCACATTATACATTACAGGTTACATAACATTTGGCCATTCTCGAATGCATATCATTTATGTCCAGCAAAACAGCAGGAATGAAGCTGATCAGGTCAACACTTGTCGATTATCTTTATCAGATTAACTAATGGATGTTTATTTTCAATACATTCTAAGACTCTCTGCCTTTAGAATTTTTTATAAATCTACACATATTCATAACTTGTAGATATTTGATTTCCGCCCCTTGTGAATTAAAAATTGTGAGTGTATTTACCAATAATCAATTAATATCTATAATGTAACTATAACATAGTTAAAAAATTATCAAAGTGAAGGATAGATGTTGAATATTCTTTTGCTTAAGGACAGATGATACAAACAAATTTTTATTGAATATCTTGAAATAACAACTAAAGCCATGTTTATATAAGTAAAATGAATAAATTTAACCGCATAGTTTTTAATTTTTCATTCGAAATTTCACATTGATAAGATTTAAAGTGACAAAAATTGTATAGACTAATAAGGATGGTTGAAGACAGGTAGAATTTTGAACACCATAGAAAGTTTACAATTTCTTAATAATTTAGACATTTATTATTTGCATTATTTGCAATCAAAATAGGTCCAAAGATGTACACCTATCCAGACATCCATTTTTTGTTTGCATCATCTGTCCTTAAATGCAAAGATGTTAGCTACGTTTATTTTTTTAAATAAGACATTTCTTAACTATATATCAAAATTGTTCACCAATTGATGTTTAGATTTTTATATGTTGCAACTTTTTCTTTCAAAAAGACTGGTTTTATCTTTGTATCCAATGAACAGACCCGTTGGAAGAAATTTCAGAAATTTGCCGTTTAGGGTGGACACTATCAAGGAAAAATTCCTTATAGAGCATACAAAAGTTATCAGAAGTTAATATTTACATGATTTAGGTGACACAATCATAAAATAGCTATATAAATAAATCGACAAAATTATTGGGCACCCCCCCCCCCCTCCCGGTTCCTACATCTAAGAAAAAAGAAATTACAAGTAATATAATATACACAGAATAAATTCATGTCAAGTTTTATTTTATGTTGATGCCACTGAATTGAAATTTTCTTGTTTCTTAGCAAAAGAATTCATTTCATGACTAAGACTCATGTTGATTACACTGTATTTAACATTTCTTGATTCTTCACGTAAAAATAAAGAACAAGGTACGGTTTCAATACAAATCTTGCCCTATGTTTTTCAAAATAAAAGTGATGTAAAAAATTAAAACGCATGCTTTTTGAATTATTAAAATTCCATGCAGAAAGATCATACAAATCTTTTTTCTCACATGACCTTCCAAATGCTAATTGTGACGTCATAAACTTGTGCATTTTCCCGTATTTTCTTAAAAAGTTGCAGAAGACATCAATTTTCAATGGAATTTTCTTTCAGATAATATTGTCCACAGGCATCGCCCACAAAGATTTTGAGATATGTGATTTTTCGAAGAATTTTACACAACATATCTAAAAATTAACGTGGGCGACGACTGTGGACACTATTTTCTTAAGGAAAATAACCCTTGAAATGGGTCATTTTGAGGCTTTTTCTGTTTAAAATAGAGAAATGCATCAAATGAACGACGTCATATATCCAGAATGGTACTCCATCACGCTATATTCTTTCCTGATTTATTACAGTCATATACTCAACTAATATTTAAGCCAGTTTCAAAACTTTTTGAAAACACTAAATTTTTAGGGCACAGTAAAGCTAAAACCATACCTTCTTCTTTGCTCAAGTCAGACAAGCTTTTTAGGAAAGCTAATACTTGTTGCAGATATTTTTGGCCTAGAGATTTGTTACATTGTGACAAAGTGTCATAATATTGATGGGCGATTTTATCTTTAACTTTCTCAACTTCTCACTGAATTATCAGTGGTGGATCCAGGAATCTTGAAAGGAGGGGGGGGGGCAGTTAGGGGCCCACGGCCAGTAGGCCCAGTAGGGGCCCACAGCTATTCAAAAAAAATTATTTATTAAATCTTAATATGTATATTTGGGACACAAAAGGGGGCCCCGGCCCCCTGCCCCCCCCCCTTCTAAATCCGCCAGTGATCATGTCTGCAATCAAAAACTTTTTATTGAAAAAGGGTTTGTGACAATCTCTCTCTCTCTCTCTATATATATGGGGGTATGTAATGCCACTACAGGCTGTTTATAATTGTGTTTATTAAACTAATATTTCTCGAAAGGATTTAAACGTACAAAATATTGATAGCTTCATACATATATTTAATAAAAGTTACAGATTTGGAAATTTTCATTGTGATGACAAACTATTAAGGTATATAGTACTGCAAGTACATGAAGACTGGCAATGTACTACTGGTAAACAATAATCGCTAGTCTACCGGATTTTCGGCCTCGCTGCACGTGAAGAATTTTCACGATGTCACTCTTGGTTTTCAGGATTTGATGTTTGTAAGTATATTTTTATCTCTTTCGAAATCATTACTCCAGAAAATTGACGTATAGTATATAGCCGATATACCCGTATACCGTGTACTTAATTTATGCGAATGATCGAGACAGGAAGTCTGAATAGATTGTAATTGTTTGTCAAATCTCTTTTTTCGTAGTGTTAAAATATATTCTGTCTTCTGAATCAGAAGGAAATGTGTATTAACAGATATCTGTTTTTTAAACACCGACACCTTTAATCCTGACATTATACATACATGTAGGTAACATATCAGATTGAATTGTTTACTGTTTGAACAGCGTAAACAGATCTAAACTGGCGGATCTCAGAGGGTGTATACCAGTATACTGTATACATTACTTCACTTCCATAACAACCGGGTGAGGGGGAATGTCTTTTATTAGTAAGTAATATTGACATTCCCCAAATTAATATCATTTACAGAACTATAAGATGCCACCCTTTTAACATTTTCTTGTGAGTAAAAAAAGAACTTGTGTAGATAATTAAGTAAAAAAGCTCATCGGATCCCAATACATGTATAACTACGTTGAAAAAAGTAAATGATTTGATTAGAAGTGGAGAATATGTTTCGAATTTAATGAAAATAAATTTTATAGTCATGTTGGCAGACTACCCCCCCCCCCCCCCGGAGGCATTGATACATATTTTTAAGTCAACTATTTTATGATATGTAGAAGCCCTCGAAATCCATATAAACTAATTAATTTGTTAGGTGAAACCTGAACTAAACTAAATCGAGCCTGGAATATATTACAGGACAAACAATATTGCTAAAAAAAATCGCTTCCGCTAGACGCGCTTCATGATAAATCTTCTTTTAGCTTTCACCCATTCTTTACTATATCAGCAGTTATAAAAGAAATTGATTTCAAATTATATGACAGGATGACAGGTATTTCCTTTCACCCCCCCCCCCCCCCCCCAAGAAGAAAGAAAAAAAAATCTTCCACAATTCTCATGTATATAGGCTTTCCATTGCACCGCTCTGAGACGTACATTATAATCGATTTAGTAGATCTATGAATTTTGTCAGTCTATGCTTTTAAACTGATCAGTTCAACTTCCCTTTATCTGTATTCTTAGTGTGGATGGTTCACCACGGTATATTGACTGCGTGCGAATGTAGCCGGATCCCGGAACTGTAGCTAACAAACGTGATCGTGTGACATAGTAATCTCACTGGTACCTGGATTATAATTGCGTTAGTCGCCACCATGCTTTAGAGGAAATAATAGGTGAATTAAAAGTATATGAATTAACTTTCAGACTATTTGACACTCAACTGGGCCAAATAAAAAGTATGTTACTATGTAGAACTTCATTCGGCGTAATAACATATCTGTCATATTTTTGGTATTATAAGTATTTTTATATACATGTTTGTGTCTAAAACATTGCATAAAAAGTACCTGGAAGATCCGATATAAGGCAGCGCAGTCCTAAAATTTAATATTATTGAACTCCTGCGGGAGAACTTTAGTCCAAGTGACATCAAAGATCAAACACACAGTTAGTTTGTATATAAAATTATTGTATTTAGAATCATATTTTATATTTGATAATTGGAAGAATATTTTCAGATAACTTAGTTATTCAAAATGGAGAAATTACTACATGGACTCGTCCAATACAATGCATCTGGGATGCCTAAGGAAAATGGTACGTTAGAAAAATAATTGTCATAAAAGTACATTGTAAACTTGTAAACGTGTAATATGTAAATACTGAACATCTAATATCCTTTCTATACTGAGTGTATCTTATATGTGCATGTACCTTCTATCACGCTGGAGAGTGTTGTTTCATCATTTAAATGTAAAATGAAGTATTTAGTATTTTTCCACATATCTTTCTTGACAAAGCAGATCCAACTATCATATTATTATTTTTTATTCATTGACTGGGTTCGAGAGCAATATGCGTTTTGTCGGACCCAAAAACCAAACTGTTTGCCTATGACTTTTAGACCGAGGGTTGACCCTGGCTCCAAGGATATTTATATTAGTCTTTTCCCATAAATTAATTTTCTTGTACACATTTACAATGTATTCCATATGAAAAATCAAAATATAACGTTAGAATTAATGTGTTGTTAAAAAAATCATACCCGCGGTATTGTCATATTGTAATTTTTGTATTTACTATTGGACTTTTGCGAGAAGCACTGACTTTTACAGTTGACTGTTTACTTTGACATTTAAACCTGTATCATGTATAGAGGTGCAGAATTGATAATAGATGGGAAAATATTTCTAGCGGTCATAGGTATGGTGTTAGGGGCACTAACGTGAAGGCCGGAAGCTAAGGGTAGGGTGGTTGTCGTTTTCTTCAAGGGCAATTTATTTGTGCTTTGAAATAACCCGTTATTTTCGTTTAATTAAATGTTGACCTAAATATTTATATCGTAGAAGAGCTTCCGTACATTGTCCTAGTGTAAAAGTAAGCCGTCGACTGTAAAAGTCAGCGCTCCTCGCAAAAGTCCATTACCCGGTAAATTCAAAAGTATACCGTGGGAAATTAAGATTTGGTTAGTGAAAGAACTATTGAGTTAGAGGAAAATAAATATTTGTACTTTAAAGAGTACAATGCCACAACTTTTCTCAAATCATGGCCTTTTGGGCTATGGTCAAAGTATTAATTGGTAATAAATGCATACAGAAAAAAAAATCCGGAAGACGGTATTGATGACATCAGTATGCAACCATCTTTGACCCTAGGTGGTTCCACACACCAAAAAAAGTTTAGATTCTTTGTTGGAAATTGATATTCTATGTCTTGAAATAAACATTTTCCTATTAAGTTTTATCGAAGTATCGCTAACATTTGCCACTTCGTAAATTCATCATGGCAAAAAAAAAAAAAACCAAACAAACAAACAAAACAAAACAAAACAAACAAACAAACAAAAACAAAAACAACTTGTAGATTTCGTTTGTTAGCATATCATTTTTTGATTAACTAATCTAATTCATTATATGTAGTCGTGTTCATATCTAACCATTTAATCTTTTACAAATAATAATAATTTATGAAGCAGATAATTAATGCTGAATGATAATCGACCGGTTTATACTTAGTTTACTGCTGTATCCCAATAATGTCTTTAAAAGAAAAAAAAAACATGTGTTTGTGAAACACTGATGCCCCCGTATGGCAAGCCAACTTATAGCAAAGGTTAAACTTTCTCAAATGCAAATCAAATATGTTGGTACCCAAAGTAAGGTCTTGTCTCGAGGAATAAACCTGTGAAATATGAAAGCCCTAACAGCAACCATCGAATAGATATGGAAAAGGTTAAAGTTTTTCAAAAGTAAGTCAAACATCAAGGTCAAGGTCAAATGGAAAAAAAATAATGGTGCCTAAGGAAAGGCCTTCTCACAAGGAATATACTGGTGAAATATGAAAGCTGAAGCACCAATCATTCAAAAGTTATGACCAAGGTTTAAGTTTTCCAAAAGTAGGTCAAACTCCAAGGTCAAGGTCAATGGATTACAATTGTTGGTATCCAAAGGAAGGTCTTGTCACAAGGATTACATATGTATAATATGAAATCCCTAGCACCAACGGTTCACAAGTTAAGGCCAAGGTTAAAGTTTTCCAAAAGTAGGTCAAACTCCAAGGTCAAGGTCAAAGAGTCAAAGATGTTGGCATCCAAAGAAAGGTCTTGTCACAAGGATTACATATGTGAAGTATGAAAGCGCTAGCTCCAACGGTTCACAAGTTATGGCCAAGGTTAAAGTTTTTCAAAAGTAGGTCAATCTCCAAGGTCAAGGTCAAAGAGTCTAAGTTGTTGGTATTCAAAGGAAGGTCTTGTCACAAGGATTACATATGTGAAGTATGAAAGCCTTAGCACCAACCGTTCAAAAGTTATCGCCAATGTTAAAGTTTTTCAAAGGTAGGTCAATCTCCAAGGTCAAAGGGTCAAACAGACAGACAGACAGACGGACGGACAGGGCAAAAAATATATACCCCGAATCTTCGATACGGGGGCATAAAAACAAACAAACAAACTGTGCGATGCATTGGGGGCAGTTATTGCTGTTTAAACACTTTAAGAAATAATGTGCAAATGAAAAAAAAAAAATCAATTATTGGTGTTTTTTGCATTCTAGGATTTTTATCAGGTAAAAATATTAAATGTCTTTCTTGAATGTGAATTGTTTATTGAAAATGAATGAGAAGTTTAAGAAACATAACTATGAAAAACTTCTAAAATGAATAAGTTGAAACAGAAAGGCTTTCTTTTCCTTAAAAATTTAAAATTTAATTTATTCTAATCTAACTTTTTTTAATGCAGTTCCTTTACAAAGAATAGACATCAAGGTGACTGTCGTCGGTTTTGTTGCCAGTGTAGAATCGGATCTTTATTACATCAACAACTCTACAGAAGCTGTCCAGACAGAGTTTGTGTTTCCACTGGATGCTGATTCGGCGGTCTACAAGTTTGAGGCGGAGATAAACAACAGGGTCATTATAGCAGAGGTACAGGAAAAGTCACAGGTATGATATAGTGATTAGTCACAGGTATGATATAGTGATTAGTCACAGGTATGATATAGTGATTAGCAAATCCACTGGGAGATAGGAATGGGGTACCCTTAATTTAGAATTGCAAAGTAGATTTGCAAAGGTGCGATCTACTGCTGTGCTTTTACCACGCAGTGGGCCTCCTTCTGAGAGAGAGAGAGAGAGAGAGAGAGAGAGAATATTTGTTTGTTTAAAGCCCTTTCAAGAATTTCTCAATTAATTATATTGAGACATCACCACTTGGCAAGTAGTGATGTCTCGCAATTGCCGTGGGAGGGCTGAAAATTTAGACCTGTACTCGACACTGAAGGTCTATGGTCAGTGAGGGATCTTTTTTCGTGCCAGCACCTACTGCGACACGGGAGCTCGGTTTATAAGGTCTCATCCGAAGGATTCAAACCCGCGACGTAAGGATAAACTCCTTACTCCGCAACTTAAGAGCAAACATGCTAACCACTGCTCTACGCTCTCGTGCGCGCATGCGCGCGCGCGAGAGAGAGAGAGAGAGCGAGGGGGGAAAATAAATACAACCATCTTTGCACAAAGAGTGGTTGTGTTATCCCGTAAATTTAATTATACTTTCTGATTATGATAAGAATCAATTTATCAATAATATGCATTTTAAAAACAAATCTTTTTTAAAGATATAGAAATCCAATTGAAACTCAATAAATTTTATCAACAACACATTTTGTTGACAGGCAAAAGAAACATATCAAAATGCTATCGAAAATGAATATGTTGGATTGTATATGGCAATGGACGATGATTATGCTGATGTGTTTCGTCTGAAGTTGGGAAATCTTCCCGGAAAGAAGTCCGCCAAGTTAACATTTGCATACGCCAGAGAAGTTGACATGGAAACAGATGACATTGGGATATTAACACTACCTACAGTTCTCAATCCTAGATATGTTCCTGACACAGGTAGAACCCCCAACCCCACCCCCCAATCCTTAATTGTAAAGTGATATGTTTTTTTGTATGAAACGATTATTTTGTGTTTTGGGGGAAATTTTCCCGATTTTCCCTAAGGAATACTTGATAAATAAGTGTAATAAATATAATTTGTCAATGTAAAGATATGTCTTACAAGCCCAGGGGTTGAATATAAAAGGGGGAGGGGTCCTGTCCACATGCACCTGTGATTCCTGAATGTAGTTAACACGCATACTCTTCTACTAAAATATGTTTTGTTTATTTTGTTTAATATGGGGATAGACGATTATAACATTGCATAAAATACATTAACCATAAGCGGTTATTTTTTCAGCCATGATTGATGCGTTCATCCCCTTGTAAGCAAAGAAGCAAAAGCATTTTATTGTGTATATTTACAGACTGGGATTTTATTGTGTAAAAACTACAAAAGAAAAATCGTTAAATTTTATATTAAATGTAACTTAATTGACTTCAGTATACATGACAAGTTTAGGGAAAATCTATCATCTGGGTATTTTTAGGGACCGTCTCAAAATACAGGGACATTTACTATGGGATTACATGGGAAACTGCTATTAATGTTTGCACCTGAAAGCAAATTTTACAAATACTACAATGGACTTTTTGCTCAAGTTGTAATTTATGATGACTAATGTTTTCAACGTTTTCGCACTCCTAGCTCCCTCTCCCTACCCCACTACTACGTCCTTAAATTAGGAAATGTTGAACATTTTGGAGCAAGTCTCATTCTCACGTAACTATAATAATAAGCACCTACCTAGACAAAACTTGCAGGATGCTGGATCTAGGGATGCACACTTCCAGACTTGCTTTGAATGTTGGATCTGACCTACATATTTTCTAGATGAGTAAACATGTTAAAGCAATATAAGCTGCAACTTTGATGTTGGAAATTTTTGATGCAAAATTGTAATTTACTATTTCAATGACAGGAAAAAAGGACGTTTATAAACTTCTGTTGTTTATATTTGCATGGAAGAACTCCTTTAAGCTTTGGTTGCAGCAGAATTACATTATTGTCGTCCCGAACAATATTGATTCCTTGTATAATACCATATATTCGATTGTACAGAAACCTTTCTTTTCAAACAATTTAATACTTTATTTATGTCAAATTGATAAAAAAAGTTCAAATTACATAAAAAATTATCAAAACAGGACATTTTAACAGCAAAATTAATTTCTCAAAAATGCAGCTCATATTGCCGCTTTTAAGTTTTTGGAGCAGATTCATTCTAAAGCACCTATAAGCCCTATAGTAAAAAAAATAACATATTTGAAAATACAGGGATGCATACTACCAGACATGCATCGGATGCTGGATCTAACGTTAATTTGCAGGTGATTGGACAAGTTAAAGTTTATGAAGTAAGTCTCATTTCCAATGCAAATAACTATTAATAATCCTTACTTGGACCCTACCAAACTTGCAATTATGATGTAAGTGTTTCAAGGGATGTACACTTTAAGACTTGCTTTGGATGGTGGATCTAACCTAAATTTTCTGGATGAGTTAAGAAGTTAAGATTTTTGAGGCAGGATCATTCTAATCTAAGTATTAGCCCTGTGATAACCAAACGTTCAGTTATGATGCAGCTAGAGATGCAAACTACCAGACATGCCCCGGATGTTGGATCTGACCTACATTTTCCAGAATAAAAGACCAATTTAAAGTTTTAAGATCATGTCAATTCGGAAGAAACTATAAGCTCAAACTAGCCAAACCTGCCTGATTGATTTTATTTAGGGATAAAAGCTACAAGACCCATTTCAGATGCTGGATCTTACTTTCATATTCTTGATGAGTAAAGAGGTAATAGTTGCAGTAGGAGCAGGTTCATACTTGTATACTAAAGCCAAACCTAACCAAACTTGCACGAAGGAATAAATTTAGGGATGCTTTATGATCAGTTGCTGGACCTTACCTACACATCCAGATGATTTAAGAGAAAGTATGATAGAACAAGTCCATTCCCGAGTTTATTTGTAAATAAGAATCCTACCCAGACATAGATTGGTTAACTGTTGCATCTAGGGATGTACACTGCTTGAACATTTGTTTGGGCGAGACTTTGCTTTTATACTTTTATTTAACTTTGATCCCATCTCTGATGTTTTGGAGGTCCGTGTTTGCTCTGCTCCTGATTTGTATAGTTTGAATGGACATCTGAGCTTGAATACTGTTCGTCATCTCCATATATTACACTTGATTTATACCACTATATATTTAATCTTTTTAGTATAATGCTTGCAATTTATTCTTTTATTTCAAAATAATCTAAAAAAAAAAAAAGGAAGCAGTCCATTCCCACAATCTGATGGAGCAACTGGAGGGGAGCTCAAAATCTTTTCCTCACTGTTTGACAAAGGTATGCTGTATATGGAGGACTTTTTCATCAATTTCGAGGTTAAAGTCGCTGGAGGTGGGAATGGCTGCCTTTCCTCGGAAAAAATAACAATGGACGTCAATGCAGATAGAATGTTGACATCCTTGGTATGCATAAAATTATCTATTATTGATCCATAGATAAAAGAGTTTCATTACTAAGAATTTTAAGATGTCACCATTCGTTGTAGAAAACTGTGTCAAGGAGACCAGAACTTGGAACGGACTTTGTTCTAGAGCTGCATTATAAAGGATTTGACAAACCATGTGCAATTTTGGAGAAAGGGAAGGATGATAATGAAAGTAAATTGACTTCCTGTTGCAGTATTTTTCAGTAGTTTTATTTACTGTTTTGTTCATATTCTGAATCATTGAAATATCATGGGTACACACGAAGAACATATTAAGTATGTACAAGTCCTGAGTAATTTTAATTGTAGCTTTCATCAATTATAATAATTTTGTATAGATAGATTAAATCCATATTAAAAGATAGTTACTTTTTTTAAAAAAAGTAATTACATGTTTTATTAATTTTGCAGGTGGCTTCCTATCGTCAGATGTGTTGATGGTAAATTTTTCCCCCTTGTTTTCCAACTTACAAACCAATGCTTTGCATGAATTCGTTTTCTTAATTGATCGTTCTGGTAAGTTTTTTTTAAATAAAATTCATTAGTTATCACTCAATACCTCTCTCTTCCTATTATTAAAATGAACAAAAATTAAACTGTGTCATATGCGCTGAACTAATCAAGAACACAACCAGTAACCTAAAATCGAAGAAACCGAACATGCCAAAAAATCCATTTTAACAATATGGTCTTATTTTATCAGGTTCTATGGGATCTCGCATTGGAAAGGCGAAAGAAACATTACTTCTTCTCTTAAAAAGCTTGCCGGTCAACTGTTCCTTTAATGTTGTGAGCTTTGGCAGTGAATACTCACTTCTTTTTCCGAAGTAAGCTATATCTTCAAATGTTTACCAAAATAGTACACTTGAGATGTTTGCTATCCAGGTCCCTTAGTTAATTTCATTTTTTATGTCTTTGAATAATCATCCACTTGTATTTAACTTTTATATAGACTGCAATGATAAAAACAAAATACGACATGTATGTACATTTCCATAAGCTACATAAATACATTTATTAAGTAAAAGCTGCTAAGGAAATAAAATTCTAGGAGTGAACCTTACTCAGAAGAAAGCATGGAGAAAGCAATGGGCCTTCAGAGAGAGATGGGAGCTGATATGGGTGGAACTGAGATTTATCGAGCTTTATTGAAAGTTTTCGAAGATAAACCGGTCAAGGTTACCAGACAGGTTAAAGGCTTTACCCCTTTGTAAAAAAGTAATATTTTCTTATTAAAGGATCATAAATACTTAACAAAAATTAGCATTAAGATAAAGAAAAGGTTAGGCATCCATTCCCAAGTTTTTCATTTCTTTTTGAGAGGTTTTAAGTGTTTTGGTCCATAAATGATATATTACATGTTCCTATGAATTCTCTTTAGGTGTTTTTGCTGACAGATGGTGAAGTTGGTAATGTTCAAGAGATTGTTAAATTAGTGAGGAGTCAAACTAACACAAGGTTGGTCAAATTTGTCTTTACACAAGAATCTTAAAGTCTATATCCATCTCCAGCAGACCTTTCTCAAGGTTTATTAATACTCTGATAATCTCTTAATAAGATAAATGTCTATTATTGTATATTATATTATTCCTTTACAAATTTTCATTTTTTACCAATTTTACCTTGCAAGCTATACTTAAATTTTACATTTCTTTTGAAAATCATTAGCATTAAAGCAATATTTTATATGAATGAACAGAGGGGTATGAACATAAACTTACATTTACTAGCGTACTGTGTATGATAACTCGATTTGAAATCGATGTATAGAGAATAAGCATTAATTTTTACAAATCACATCCTGTATCAGCTTGAGATACCAATATCAGCAAAAGGACCGAAGGCCCGAGAGCTTAAACTGGTCGAGGGCTAATATAGGTTGTTATTTGGAAAAAAGTTGTGTTTTATTTTGTTTATTACATACTTACGAGGTGTGATCAAAAAATTTGCGAACTAATTGAATTACTTCCATAAAAGAAATGACATTAGGTTTCAGTGTTCAGTATTTTTTAACGTAGTCCTCTCAGATTTAAGGAGGCTGGGGGGTCAACAAATTAACCACCAGATTTAACTTAATATTTTAGATATGATATCTTAAGCTGTCAACTATCATTTGGCAAAGAAAAATTTCAAAAATTTTAGTTTTAAAATTTGATCATTTTCTATATCTTCATATGGAGCTCTTCTTCTAAAGGAGATCAATATAGTCTAAAAATGGCCACAACCCCCCAGCCTCTTTAAATATACATCTGCCACTGTTCTGCCCATGTGTGAATCACGTGATACAGGCGGTCAGGTGAAATGGCTCCGTAGCGTTCTGTTGAACGTTAATTTTTGGAGCTTTTAAGTAGCTCTAGGTCCTACAGATCAAACTAGTTAGTTTTGCTACGTTTCATCTATTAATGTTCTTTACTGTTACCAACGTGAATTTATGAGGATTTTTATCTGCTAATTTACCCTACTTGTAATTTAAGCGTGTTATTGTTGATGCTTAATATTGGTTTGCAAGTAATGCAGTTTTGCTTAAGATGCTTTATATACATTTCATCTCAACTATATAACTCTAATGTTTCTTTAAGAAACAATTATGAGATATGAGTCTTTGATTTTAAAAGAAAGTATATTGGTAGAAGTAAGCTTTGTTATCCGGATAACCCTATGTTTACAAATATTACAAATTGTATAAATAGCAGGGGATTATATCATGAAAGACTCCAATTGAAAATTGGTTTGAAAACTTTGATACTATTATGGATGACTTTTACATCTCAGGTAACGAAATAATTTATTCATGATGAATTAACTATTCAGGGTATTTACTTTCGGGATTGGTAATGGGTGTTCAACTGAATTGATAAGAGATGTAGCAAAGGCGGGTAAAGGAAAGGCAACGTTTGTCCGAGACAGTGAAAGACTACAAAATAAGGTAATATACATGTGTGCATAAGTCTACTGAACACATGTAGACATTATTGAATTATGAAATTTATGTTTATGAAGGAAATTATCTTTTACTCCTTTGTCTATATTTTTCCACTGCACGTTTCCTGATTTTATGTATCCTTATTTAAATGGAAGGTTATGTCTGTCATGAAATGCAGTCTCTGTCCAACAATAAAAGACTTGTCCTTAACATGGAGTTTACCAGACGGATGCTCAATCTTAAATGTTCCTAAAGAAGTACCCACAATTTTCCAAGGAGATCGACTGATTTTGTATGGAATGATATCAGGAGAAATTTCGAAAGTGAGTTAAGTTTTTCTTTAGTATATTTTTTTTCAAGCTGTTTCAAATAATACTTTAAAGAATACTAAAAGTTTTGTTCTTTCTTTGAAAAACATCCATTTTTTGAAAGTAGTATAAAAAGAGTGTAAAACTGTAGTCTCTAATAACACATGATGTCGTTTTATAATATGTAGGAGACAAACGTTAAAAGCTCTTTGAAAATGATTGGTAAATCTGGAGAGTTGCCCGTGGAATATGGTTTAGAGTTTGATCTGGATTCAACTGTTGGCAAAAATGATGAGGTTTTTCTATTGCACAGACTTGCTGCAAAAGCCAGGATATCAGAGCTTGAAATGGAGGAAAGCGGAGGTAATTATGCTTATTTTTTGCTCGCTAGAGCCGATAGCCTAAAGTTTGATGGTCGTCCGTCCGTCCGTCTTACTTTAAACTTTTGCAGATCCACTAAGTCATTTTGAACCAAACTTGTCAAAAAGCATCTGTAGGTGAATTGCATTCATTTCCCTTCAAATAATGAGCCACAACCTCTATAAAGGGGAGATGATTAAAAATAAGTGAAAATTCAATGTGTTCAAAAATCCTTTTCTCTAAAACCACTTGGCCAGAAAAGTTGAAACATATTACATTGAGTAGATTCAAGCGTCTTCAAATTAACAACGTGTGCGATATGGTGGGTCATGATACATGTAGGCATCAAAGTTTTACAAAGGAGTATACAAGGGGAGACCTTTCAATAACAACATAGGCAAATTTAATCACATAAATATGAAAGCATTCTCAGGTAGTGTAGATTCAAGTTTGTTTGTGACCCCTCGGGGTGGGATAGGACCATAATGGAGGGATGAAAGTTTTATATGAGAACGTACAGAAGAAGGAATAAAATCTTATTCTCAAGAACAGCAAAGATATGATAAATCATATAGAGATGGAGCATCTTAAAGCAATGTAGATTTAAATATATTCAAATTTGTTTTAAAAATGAACCCTAGAGCTGTGTGGGGCAACAATGAGAGATAAAAAGTTTTAATAGAAATGTTTAGGAACAAATCTTTCAAAATGTTCTTCCCAAACACAGAAAAGGCATGATTAATCAAATACATGTAGATATGCAAGCATTTTTGGGAAGTGTTAAGTAAATTTTCCTCAATTTATGGGGTTGGTTCACAATCGATGATCAATTTTTTTACTGGAATATGTAGGGAAAAATTCTTTAAAAAATCTTTTCTCAAGAACAGGAAAGATATGAATAAGCATATAAATATCAAAGTTTTGAATTTAAGTATGATCAAATCAAGACCCCGGGGATGGGATTTGGCTACATCGAAAAATCAAAGTTTTACATTTACATTTTACATTACAGGAAAAAATCTTAAAATTCTCTTCTCAAAGACAGTAAATGTATGATCATTAAGCGTATGTATATGGATGTTTATTTAGGAACTTTCTCTAAAAATCTTCTCAAGAATGGCAATGAAATGATTAATCATATATATATATATATATATATATATATATATATATATATATATATATATATATATATATATATATATATATATATATATATATATATATATATCAAAGTTTAACATAAGAAGAATATATAGGGAAAAGTCTGCTACTGAAGAACAGCAGGGTTATTAGTGACTCAAGTAAAAGGTTGTGGTTCATGAATTTAATTCATTTAATTTATAATTTATAATGGGAAATCGGACGCAATTTCTCCTGTATATTTATTTGTCTAAATTAGAAGGATTTGAAATCCCCCACCCCTACCCTCATTTCTGTATTTTAAATTGTAATTTTAATAATTATTTTAAAGTAGTTTGATAGAAGTTTATTATAGTCAATAGTTATCAAATATAGTTTTGACATAAAAACAAAAATGAGTCTCGGTAGTTTTCTTTAATTTTCAACAAAAATAACCATGTACAAACCTGGAAAAACTTCATTTTCTTGAAAACAGACCGAATAACATTCCATGGTAATCTACAGATATGTAGAATGAGTCTTAAAATCTAAGAAAGTGAAATACACAGATTGAATAAAAAATATAAACGAGGCAAGCTGTTGACAAACTACAGTGTAAGTGATGAAACAAAAATATGAGAAATCTCATTTAAAGTCATTATTTGTCAAATTCTGTGGTCGAAGCTATGGCCTTGTCAACAAGTACAGTCTATCGTTAAGTCAAATGTTAACCAGCGATTTTCATGAAATATATATATGGAGATAACGAACATTATTACATTTTCAACAGTGAAATACTGTGATTTATTTATTGAATAAAAGTGATATTCTCTCACAGTGTGAAAGGATACCAAAATGATATTCTCTCACAGTGTGAAAGGATATCAAAGTAAGTAAAAAAATAATTTCTGGCATGTCATAACATAGAGATAGTAACTAAGCATCTTGACAGAGCTAAAACTGCAAATTTCTTCCCAAATATGTTGCTAAAATCCATGCTATGTAAGTAATGTTTTCAATCACACAACTGCTAAGCTATGACGTCAAGCCTATGACACTGTGTTGAGAAAAGACAGAGGCAAGGGGAAAATCAAAGAAAATGTAATAAACAGAAAATTCAATGTTTTGTAGATGAATATGGAATTTATTTCACTCGTGAGACAGGATTTTTTTTTATATTTTCACTCGTGCTTCGCACTCGTGAAAATATAAAAAAAATCCTGTCCCACTCGTGAAATAAATTCCATATTCATCTACAAAACATTGAATATCCTCTATGTATTCAAGCTCAGAAGTCCATTAAAAAATACAAAATAGGAGCAGAGCAAACACGGACCTCCAAACATCAGAGGTGGGATCAGGTGCCATGGAGGAGTGAGCATCCCCTGCCGACCGGTCACACCCGCCGTGTGCTCCTTGTCATGATCGGGAAATAACGGAAAAATACAATTTGTTATGCCATTATTTACACACTGAAATGTTTATGGTCGGATTTTTCGTTTGCCCGATTATAACAAGGAGCACACACATTGGGTGTGGCCGGTTGATTGGGGATGTTTACTCCTCCATGGCACCTCATTCCTAATCTAAATTTTTGGAGGTGTTTGTCTGCTCTGCTTCCAATTTCTATTGTTTCAATGGAATTTTGAGCTTGATTTCTGTTCGTTATATCCATGTTTCTTCCATGGAAAATATCAGATGCATTAACATTTAAATATTTTTGACTTTAAAGATCCAAACCAAAGCGTTTTCTTTATTTTTAGAAGGGTTTCAGAGCAATTGCAGTAATAAGTTCTGAAAGTTTTGAGACTATGTGTAACCAAACAATTACTTCTTGAATGAAAAAACAAAGAAGACCAGTTCTGCTTAACGTGATATTGTAATGTGAAGTTATCACAATTATCCATGTCTCCCTGCACTCAAAAAGTTGTTCACTAGAAAAACATGTACAGCTTTTGCTTAAAAATGTTCAAAAGCAACGAATTTTTGTCTTTTTTAAATTATAATATGCCTACAAATTTTGACCCGATATTAAGCACTCAACCAAATCAAAACAATATTTTGAACGGATGTACGTCATAACATGGAGTTGTCCCATACAACCTTAAAGTCTAAATGCTTCAATCGTGTATTACATCATGATCATTTTGTTGATTAAATTGTCTTTGTACACTTGGCCAGATCTTCAGGGACTGAAGCATGCATAATATTTGGTCATTATTTTCCTTTATAGATACGAAGATGTTGACAGCATTGAGCACAGCGGCAAACATTACATGTAGAGAAACAGCTTTTGTTGGATTTGACAAAAACAACAGAGATGTTTTAGCACAAGCTGGACATCAGCTGGAACCAGCATTTGACGGCTACATACAACACAGCCTGTGTTTAAGATCATACGGGTTAATGGACATGGGTGATAATTGTAAACGTTCATATGGATTTACAGGGTTTCGATTTCATTTTGAGAATCCATTTAAAAAAGTGACGGACGTTTTCTCAGGTTTGTTAATTAATTTGTGTACATCTACTGCTTTCCATATTCATCATGATTTTTAAAAAAAAAAAAAAATTGAAAATGACGATTATTTTACGTCATAAAAAGTTATTAAAAGAAATTCAATAGTGATATATCATATATTGATTTTGAATATACAATAGAATGTCAGCAATCTTTTTTTATGTCATTGAACATCTAAATCTATATTCATTAAATCTATATTCATAATAATTTTTATGCTAAATATAGGGATTTTTTCTAAGAAGAAAGGAAAAGCTAAAAATAAGAAAAAGAACTCTAAAGAGAGTGTGCCTTCACTGAAGAAAAAAGGTAATTGTTTATTATTGCATTCTCATGGTTCTTTATAATATGACTAGGAAGTGAAAATCAATGGTATGAAATGAAAATGTACACAACCTTTACTTTTCTGTTGTAAAGAAGAAACTGATGTGCCTGGTACGAGGGTTGTCCAAGAATAACACGAACTTTTTTAAATATTTCATAAACTACCTGACCAAAATTATTAATTTTAGCACACTGTTTGGAAATGATATTTTCGTCATTTTGACCAAATACTATAAGGTTGGAATGTCATATGCATTTACAAACAGCATTAAAGGATGTTAAATATAGGTGGTCGGCACACGGCAATTTCTTGACTTTCAAATTTAGCATTGCCATCTATGTTTTTCTTTATTACACATCTGTGTGGAAATATGATGTGAAAAAATTTCATCCATAGAAACAGTATGATCTAGAGTACTCGTGTGTATAAAATTAATACTTTGACATCATAAATTGTAAAAATATGACGTTATACGACCAAACGCCATTAGTTAGGTGTGGTAAAAAACGGCGACGTCCTGCGATAATGCGGCGCACCAAATTATCAATCAGTACGGTGTGGAGCAGGGTATGACTCCTGTTAACACGGGTAGACAGCTGGAACGACACAAATACGTGTATCGAACACTGTTTAAACATTGTCAAAGAGGTTCAAAGATGGATGGACTGGTTATTCGATGAAAGAAGCGTTTGGTAGACCAACATAAATGACGACAAACTGAAAAGTCTAGAGTTGGACGTCGTACGTGTAGACCGCCGTTAACTATGCAAGCAGTTAAGTTTATGATCGGGGTTGGAAAAGACTATTGAAAGAATTAATTCCTTGATTTATTCTGAACTGTATTACGTGTGAAATGGATAACTTGGTAACTAAAAGAAAATCAAATTCAATATCGAATTTCTGCTTCGAACGAATTTTTAAAGTCGCACAAGTCCTGAACAAATTCAAAAATTCCACGAGCTAGGTTTTGACGTCGTCGGTGTTGCGCCATGAGCTATTTTGAATGATTATTTTCTTTTATTAAAATTTCTGTGAATTATGTAAAAAAAAATGTTGATGATGGTGCATGCCAATTTTTAAGTAAGTCTGCTTGTGAAACCTTACATATTGGCAGGATTGCACTTTGAAAAAATACGAGATAAAATATCTGTTAATAATCATATTGTGAGTAGAATGTAAATACCCTAAAAAGTAATTAGATTTTAATTTAAACGTTTTTTTTAATTAATTGTTAATTACTTATACTTCGGGGTTTTTTTTCTCTAACATACTTTTGACAATTAAAATGTATGATTTATTTAAAAAAGAGACTAAAATTGCAGAAGTAAAAATTGTTGAATTTATTTTTTGTTTTCAAGGGTGCAATTGATATGTCGACAATTTTTTGATGCTTTAATTGACGTGACAGTATTGTAGAGCCACATACGCACATACTCGCACACACAAACATACATATATGTATATATATATGTATATATATATGTAACAGTGAAATGTTTTCAGATTCAGTTCGAGAAGATGAGAAAACTACAGTTATGATGGAACTCATTGAATTGCAGAAGTTTGATGGATCATGGGAACTCACCAGAAGTTTTGCCGATCTTCTCAGAAAAGAGTTTTGACGATTTAAAGGAATCATCTGTAGTGCAGGTATAATATTTACATTGCTCAAGATTTGCTAATATATCTATAAGACGATAAATATGCTCACTGTGGCTCTTTTTACTACTTTATATATTTTAAAGTTCATTTCTGCTTAGAGGTACTTTGGTTTTTAAAATAAAAAGACATTGCATGAAAGTTGCTGTGATATGTATTCAATGAGTTAAAGATACAGTATGTTGTTCTTAGTTGTCAGTTGATATAATGAAGCCTTGTACATAATATTCTTAAGTCAAACCTTGCACCCATTTTACGTCCACGCCCTATCTCCATGTGGTATGCTAGGTTCACTTTCTATATTCCATGAGGACTTTTATTAATTAATTTAATTTTTTAAAAGCAATATGAGCTGCAACTTTGATGTTAGAAATTTTTGTTGCAATATTGTAATTAACTATATCAATGACAGAAAAAGAACGTCATATAATTTTCTGTTGTTCATATTAGCGATGGAAGAATTATTTATAAGCTTTGATTGAAGCAAAATACATTATTGTTGTCCTGTATAATATTGATTTCTTATATAATACTATAAACTTGATTGTACATAATCCTTTATTCTGAAACTATTTGTTATTTTATTCCTGTCAAATTGATCAAAAAGGTTTAAATTACATACAAGTAAATTATCATAATAACACATTTTAACAGCAAATAAAATTCTCAAAAATGCAGCTCATATTGCTTTAAGATTTGCTATTTCTTAGAGAAAGAAAAGGTTTTATAATAAATATGTATATTGTATATATATATTCATAAATTGAAAAAGCACACTGAAGCCTTAGCTTGATGCTAAGAAAAGTACTTAAAATCTCTTCTTATGTATTAGATTATTAGATATTGTTTTATTTTTCTATTAAAAACATCATTTTTAATGGATTTCTGGAAGTGCGGGTTTCTTTTTCCAACATTCTATAAAGTTTCAACCTCTGGAAAAACTGACATAGACCTAAGAAATATTTAAATGGGCTACTGAAAAATAAAATGCATCCAGAGTACTTGTTTTTAAACGCCGAAAAAGATTAGAGACAGGAGATGTAAAAGTTAATGTCGATTTGTAGTAAGGGTGTTCAAAGTATGTCACGTCGAAAAGTGACGTTCATCATGATAGATGTTGAACTTCGACAAGCAAATATGCTGTTATAATCAAGTGAGGATCATTCAGATTTATTTACAATATTATATGCATCGAAATCAGCTGTTTATGACATTGTAAAATCATATAAACAAGACGGGTTTAAATCCTCACTTAACTCCAAGGAAACTCATCAAGATAAGTCTATGATGTAGAGAATGCGGACATTGAAAAACAATGACGTCATGAAACTAAATGACGACAGGGCCGGGTGATCATATAATGTCTTTTTTCTATTTTATGATAATTTGGTAAATATTCAAGGTATCAAGCTTATTGTTTTATGTTCATTAAAAATTTTGTAAGCATAGACTACATAGTATTAGTTTTATCGCATCAGTTCACGAACTTTTCGAAGAACCCTCGTACTCAATGTATTTAACGTCAAGTATCTGTGGTCCGGAGTGACACGTTCACATTTAGCACATCTTTTCAAAAATTAGCTTTCGGTGAATGTCGTAGAACACTTACATGTATAAACTACAATTTTAGTTATATCTGATATGCAATCTTTCAAACAATACAATAGCCTGCAGGATAGGGTCATACTGTATTTTTAAATCATAATAGTGTCTCTATATGAAATAATACAATTCTGAAGAAAGGAAAAACTTTCAAAGTAGAATATGCAATCGATGGGATGTTTGCTTGACTTCATATTGATTCTGATAAAAATGAACGTGATAATTAATTGTGGGTTTCAGCAAATGCGCTACCAAGCCCCTTTCAAGTAATATTCCATCATCTGTCGTGTTTATTTATCCGAACAGAGCATGCCCTGAGTATCATCTCTTTTTAAATTTTAAACCAAGGCAGACTTCCAACAAATAAGTTAATGTTACAGGGATATCAATAACCTCGTTTAACATCATTTCGAAAATTCTATGGTCGTTATGATGACCTCGCTTGCAAATACAACCTATCATTGGGTAGTATCTTGACTATGTTTCATACCAATTGTTACACCATTGTTAATTACTCGGTCTACCTGATCAATACATAATGTTCATGGCAGCTGTGACTTGTCGTCGGGGGGGGGGGGGGGGGGCTTACTTCTCCTATACACCTGATCCCACCTGTGGACTTTCCAGGAATACTTGTTTTATGTCCTGTTCACTAATTTGTGTTGTTTTAGAAGAATTTGAGATCGATCACTGTTTTTTATCTTAGCTTTTTTCATTTCAGAATCTCAGTGTGTGGGCAACCGGGCTGGCGATAGCATATTTAAGAAAAGAATGCTCAGCGCATAAAAAAGAATGGGAGTTAATAGAAGAGAAGGCATTGAAATGGCTGGAAACCATGGAGTTAGAGGGAAAAGACGTTATATTACTTGCTGAAAGTGTGATTGAGTAGTTAATTAGCATTGATTAAAACTATCAGGAGACACCATCTTTCATTCAAAGTTATTCATTTGTATGTAAAGAGTATCACAAGAGAGGATCATTTGTTTGTTTGTTTTATAAGTGTATGTAAGTTTAGTTATATCAAACTTTATATATATTAATTTTGTTTACAAAATCATTACAAAGTAAAATTACATTTTTTACATCAAACTTTATATATATTAATTTTGTTTACAAAATCATTACAAAGTAAAATTACATTTTTTAAATTAACAGTAACTGTCTCGAATACAGGAATATTTATAAACTAATTTAATTTTTTGGTATTTTATTTTTGTAATATCAACTTTGAGGGTGTTTTTGTGTGATGTGTAACAGCCTGATCTCTAATTTACCATGGGGAATGGTGGTTTAATGTGTTAAAAAGAAACATTTTAATCCTTATGATTTTGGTAAAATTTGTGATATCAAATTAGAAAAATTCTTTAGAGTATTCAAGTATCTACATTTAATTAAGGCCACTTCACGAATATGTTTCACAGTACTGCTGAAATTTCTCCTTTACTGCTGTTAATATATTTTTGAGGATCGAGTAAGGAAAGAGGCTTGGAATTTACAACATTTACCAGATCCCTATATGTATCTGTAAGGATTTTTATGATGGAGCCCAATATAGGTGTCGTTTTTTTTGTTTGTTTGTATTTTGTTTAACGTCCCTATCGAGAATTTTTTACTCATATGGAGACGCCACCTCTTGCCGGTGGAGAGCTGCACATTTTGTCCTATACTCGGCACTTACGGCCATTGAGCAGTGAGGGATCTTTTTCGTGTAAGCACCTACTGCGACACGGTACCTCGGTTTATACGGTCTCATCCGAAGGACCGGTCTCCACGTTCTACAGTGGGATTCGAACCCGCGACGTAAGGATCAACTCCTTACTCCGCGACTCTAGAGCAGACGCTCTAACCACTGCGCCACGCAGGGCATATAGGTGTCGTAATTCAAAGTCAATTTGGTTTTTTTGAATATTGAATTATTGAAATTTGACATGTGATTCTGAAGAACATCTCCCTTACAAAGGGAATTATACGTTTGATTAAATTACCACTTGTAAAATTAAATTCAAGTTCCTCTAAAATGCAATTGTAATAACATACTTAGGACATATTGTTACCTGCATTTTAATCTGGGATCAGTACATACTGATCATGTAATCCAGCTAATTCTTTAGTTACTTCTGAATTACTGAATACAGAAGCATAGATGGTTCTCGTATTGCATCTCAATCGTTAGTAGCGAGATTATAACATAAACGTTATTCTTTTATCCATTTTGAAAAAGTGTTAAGGATTTCTTCTTCATAGAAAATTTTTACTTCAAGGTATATAACAGTTTTACATGTACATGTATACCTGATGTTTTTTTTATTATTTGCAAGATGTCATTATTTAAGAAAGTTATAAGATTTTGACAACTTCTATTAAGTAATTTTACCGCAGTGAAGATGAACTAATAGTTAATAATGCGATGAAAGGAAAGAGAAAACAACTTTATTATAGGGAAAATATAACAAAAATATATCCCTTTCCTACATCATCTGACAAGGACAACGAATTTAGCAATTTTTTCTTGACGGGAGCTTTTACATGTACGACACAAGTCAGAGAATTAAAAGTGATGATGTTTCAGGGTGGGAAAACCGAAAAATAAGTTCTGCCAAAATAATTGGTTAGGAGAAATTTATTGTTGGAATTCATGAAATAATAATAGGACGGGAAATTCTCATCTCCGCCGAGGTAAGGAACTCGTAAATGATTAATGAGAGACGATTTCAATGAGTGTCAATTCGTATACATTCTTCCAAAAAAAAAAGATATACACAGAACGATGGTCAGTTAGTTACTGCTTCAATGCTTTGAAATTGTTTATGGAGGACTTGCTCTCAAAGGGGAAAGATAATTTCACATTTACCTGAACATTTTTATAGCAGCTAGTTCTTCGTGAAAAAGGACAAAGTCAAGGAAAAGTGATTATTTCGCTGCCTTTAATCTAGATGGTTTGAAGATAGTGTGCAAGTAAAATTCAGTTAAAACTTGAAATATATTGATGGCTATATAAAACACGACTAACCACATCCCTGCACGCTATTTATGGTCGAGGAGGACTACGTCGATCATCAAGAATCGAGTTTTCCCGCGTTTCGGAGAATAGCCGGAAAACGTTGTATGATAGCAACGCATTTGAATGACTATGCGTAGTAATACAAGGCAGGCCACGAGAAGGCCACTGTAAAGGGTCAGTGTCGTAAAGTTAAGGTCATTCTAAGCAAGTCTCTAGCAGTGCAAGGAACACTAATTTCGGGGGGCGATTTATCTGAATGTCAAGTTGAAGGCCACAGAAAGTGTTTTCTTCTTTTCATCTTTCAGATTCTGGACAAATTCTGCTTCATATGAATACAAAAAAGGTCTGATAAGAACGGGGCGCAATTGGTACCCATGGAAATTCCAATAGATTGTTGGAAGACCTGGTCTCCAAAAACCACATAGATATTGTCGATCAGGAACTCAAGCATCTTTTAAATGTCAACTTCAGAGTACTTGTGTGTACGAGGTTGATCAAAAAGTTCGCGAACTATCTCTATATTTAAAAAACCACAATTCAGATCAGAATGAAATTTGGCACACATATAGTCATACATATGTTCTATAAATAGCAGATATTAAATAATGTTTTGCTCCGTGTTTGTGACGTCACAATGTGAAAATGACGTCAGTATGTAGGTCACTTGAGACAAAAAATAGTTGACTCAGTCGTACTCGAGCAACGAACGGCTGTAAAGTTTAACGTATATCTCGGAAATTTCTTTACAGTAGAATATGATAATTTGTACAGGGTTTATGAAGACAAAAGACTTAACAGAAGTTCAATCATTAATTGGATTGAATGTTTTAGTGAAGGCAGGGAGATGGTTAAAAATTATGTTTGTTCTGTTGACCAGCGAAAGCAAGCCGGTAAAAAGATGTGTCCTTAGTTGAGAAATTTGTTTTGAAAGATCGCCAAGTTACAGTATGAAAAATAGTTGAATATCTGAGCAATAATATAATTACTAAATCCCTAAAATATCGTTTACTTTAGACTTTAAACATATGAGATATGAAAAAAAGAAGGCGCCCATACTTTTTCCACATTGGATAATCGACGCTCTTGAGACAGAGGACTCGGGATGTGATGATCATCATGCTAATTCTAGGAAGGGATATCCTCATCCACCCATCCTATTGCTTAGTTGGCCATTTCTGACAGATGGTCTGTTCTAGTTGTAAAAAATTACTTGCATGTAAGAAATATAAGACTAGGAAAAATCTCTTAGCTTCTGTGAACAGACCGCTACGAAGCATGTCACGTGACCGCCTGGATCACGTGATTCGCACATGGGCAGAACAATGGCAGATATGCATTAAAATTGGAGAGGACTACTTTAAAAAATAATGAACACTGAAACCTCATTTTATTTCTTTTAAGGAAGTTATTCAATTCGTTCGCGAACTTTTTGATCACCCCTCGTACAATCAGAATGTTTTTTACAAAATAATTTTGCAAATGACCAATGACAAGCTAAGTCAATTTACGAGTTCCATTTTTAGTGAAAAAGCAGCTGTTAATGATATCAAAAAGCCTGGATTTTAATTAGTATCCACATTGATTTAGTATCCACATTGATTTACACCGCTTCTCGAATATATTGTTGCACAGTACTCTTGAAGTTTCCCCTTCTTCACTACTGTTAATATTTTAGTGAGGAGTAAAGAAAGAGGCTTGGTAGAACATTTACTGGAAACCGCTATGTATCTTTGTAAGGATTTTTATGAAGTTTCGGAATCCAATATAGAAATGGTAATTCAAATTCATTTTGGTTGTTCGGAATATTAAAAATATTCAAAACTGACATATGATTTTGAAGAATTTCTTCCTTAGAAAGAGAACCATGAGTATAAGTTGGATTACCACTTGTAGAATTAAATCCAAGTTCCTCTAAAAGGCATTTAATAAATGATGGACTCCAAAACTATCCTCGTTTGAGCAGAAAATATCTAAACAACAACGACAGCAGCATGAACAACAATGTCCAAGCTTCAAGCGGCGAACGAGAAAGACAAGACATTTGTCTTTAAGTAAAAGGGAAACGAAGCTCAATACAAATTAATCAACAGCGTTAGAAAGAATCTGATAGAGGTCAATACTAGTCTGAGCGAAGGAGAATCAGAAATGGCTTTCAGCTGCACTATCTTCAGGTATAGAGCTTGTTCACTAACGGCAAACAATAATTAAATTAGCAGAATCTTTCACGAACTAGCGTCTGACGAGGAGGGCGAAAAACGCATTTTGAGAGCTGAAATAAGAGCCGAAAAGAATTTAAAAGAGGTGCGTATATAAAAGGCGAGAGCAGCCAGACGCATCAACCCATACCCGGAAAGAACCACCAACGCCAAATTCAGTCATACGAGGGCAGATAAAAGTCGGGAACATGTTTAAAATGCGGTCTAGCCGGTCATTGAGTAAGGGATTGCACAAGCAACAGTAAAGAGACAGGCTCTAAGTTTTTGTTGTAAATCTATTGACTCTTGCTTTCAACAAAGCAAGTAAACCTCGTTTAGTGTTGGACTGTTGGCACATCAGTAGTTGTATTTGCGATCTTTTGTTCAGAATGGAAGATGTTTAAGTTGCTAGAGAAATTGTTCAAAAAGGTAATTTTTATGCCCCCGGATCGAAAGATCCCGGGGGTATATTGTTTTTGTCCTGTCTGTCTGTTTGTCTGTTTATCTGTTTGTCCGTTTGTCTGTTTGTCCGTTTGTCTGTTTGTCTGTTTGTCTGTTGTCAACTTTAACCTTGCCCATAACTTTTGATTGGTTGGAGCTATGACTTTCATATTTCACATGTGTATTCCTTGTGACAAGACCTTTCTTTGGGTACCATCATATTTGACCTTTTGACCTTGACCTTGGAGTTTGACCTACTTTTGCAAAATTTTATGAGACTTTAACCTTAGCCATAACTTCTGAACAGTTGGTGCTTGGGGTTTCAAACTTCACATGTGTATTCTTTGTGACAAGGCCTTCCTTTGGATGTCAACAACTCTGACCTTTTGACCTTGACCTTGGAGTTTGACCTACTTTTGAAAAACTTTAACCTTGGCCATAACTTTTGAACAGTTGGTGCTTAGGGTTTCAAACTTCACATGTGTATTCCTTGTGATAAGACCTTCCTCTGGATATCAACCACTTTGACCCTTTGACCTTGACCTAGGAGTTTGACCTACTTTTGAAAAACTTTAACCTTGGCCATAACTTTTGAATGGTTGGAGCTAGGGCTTACATACTTCACATATGTAATCCTTGCGACAAGACCTTCCTTTGGATAGCAACCACCACTTTGACCTTTTGACCTTGACCTAGGAGTTTGACCTACTTTTGAAAAACTTTAACCTTGGCCATAACTTTTGAATGGTTGATGCTAGGGCTTTCATACTTCACATATGTAATCCTTGTGACAAGACCTTCCTTTGAATACCAACCCCTTTGACCTTGACCTAGGAGTTTGACCTACTTTTGAAAAACTTTAACCTTGGCCATAACTTTTGAATGGTTGGTGCTAGGGCTTTCATACTTCACATATGTAATCCTTGTGACAAGTTCTTCCTTTGGATACCAACCACTTTGACCTTGACTTTGACGTTTGACTTTTATTAAAAAAACTTTAACCTTCGCCATAACTTCTGAACAGTTGTATCTAGGTCTTTCAAATTTCATAGGTGTATTCCTCGAGACAAGACCTTTCTTTGGGTATCAACATTTCTTATCTTTTGGACTGGATTTTGACTTGCATTTGAAGAAACTTTAACCTTCGCCATAACCTGCCATACGGGGGCATCAGTGTTTCACAAACACATCTTGTTTATTTAGTTTCGCTTTAAAATCATCATATTGAAATATTTGAGCATCATAGAATCATAGAAAATATTTAGGTTTTCAATGGGAAATCAATGGTGTTATTGAATATTTTGTGTTCAATGTATTATTTTTACAAAACTTTTGGGGAAGTAGTTCAGTATAGGAGATCACTGAGTTTTCAGATCGTTATGTACTTGGATGATGGTTTAGCTGGCTGGCTCTAGTGAATTTGATAAAGCGTCTTCACTCAGTGATATTATCAAATGCGACTTTATTATAATTGCGGATTCCAAAAGTGTCTGGTTTCCACAACAAAATATAGTATGATTAGGTTTCGAATTGGATACGGTTAACGGTGTTTTAAAAGAAACCCCAGAGAAAATTAATAAGCTACTCAAGTGTATCGAGGCTGTGTACATTAATTTCAGTCTAGGCGTTTTATGATGCTTTCGGGTGAAATCTATAGCTAGTATAGTGGGTCCGGAATTCATATCTATGGAAGCCGTTATAGGATATGCGGTTCCCTCAACACCAGATATTTATATCAAGATATATTGACAAGATGCAGTTGGAATTCATGTATTGAATTAAGTTTACATCTTTAGGAGAATTAGAATTAACTTTGGAAGGCAATTCAAGGTCAATTAATAGTAAAGAAATTAAGACTTGTAGTAAATTTTCAGAGTTAAAATTCTTTTACCGATGCTTCTGATTCAGGTTTCGCAGCTGACGTAGAAAATTCAGAGGTTATAGAGATACTGGTCTCTGGAGATGAAAGGAATCCATGAAAAGTTACACGTGGAATGAAGCAACTAGAAGCAATTACTAGGTGTTTGCATTGAATACTATAGGAGAAACTATTCAGGGTAAAAAAAGTCGCATAGTATACTGACAGCAAAAATGTTTGCAGAATTTTGGAAGTCGGTAGCAGAAAGTCTCATTTGCATGGAATTGCTATTAAAATTAATGGAAAAATTCTGAATTTACAAATTATGTTTGATATTTATTGGTTGTTAGGAGGAAAAAACATTCAAGCAAATTTGCTTAGCAGATGTTTCGATAGTGACGGTTGGGAAATAAAAAAAAAGTTTTTTCCAAATATTGACAATTGTTGGGGTATTGTAGCAACCGCTAATGATAAAACGCCGCTTAATGATAGAAATATCATTAAGCGTTGCAATTGCAACACTTAATGCCATAAATTTTTTCATTAATAGTTGACATTCGCAGCCGCTAATGCTAAATCGCTGCTTAATGAATTTTAGGTAATACAATTTGTCAATTTAATTATTTTTTTTTAGAGCTAAACGTTGAAAAAATGTGCAAAACAATTTGATTTCAGCAGGTGTGAATCAATATAGACAAGAAAACGAAATTCTAATTTCTGCGTATGTTACTTCGGCTTGTCCAGTAAAAATGTTACAACGTTACAGTATATATCTCTAGGGAATATAGACATTTCCTAGAGTCACTTTTTGTTCAAGTCCGTGTTTAAATCTAAAGACGGTTTAAAGGTCATTTACAAAACAAAAAAAACTTAGTTATACTAGGGCAAAGGAGTACATGTTGTCAAAATTGAAATAAATTATGGGAAATATCAATATTGGTCTACATTCTCTGCGTTCAGGTGGGTCGACGGCTGCAGCAAATTCTAAGGTAACTTAGGAGCGATGCTGGAAGAAACACGGTAGATGGGCATCTGATTCGTCCAAGGATGGATATGTGAAAGATAGCCTAGAGAGCAGACTTTCCCTTTCGTAAAATCTAGGATTATGACTATACACACGTATATAAATATATAATACGTAAGTATATATTAAAAAAAATCAAGGGTGTTTTTATGCCACCTATTTTATAATTCATTCATTTTCGATAATTATTTTGCATAATGTTTGCATGTTTTGCTTACTTTTGAACATTTCATTCTAAGCTTGTCTAGCTCACACCTAGATTGTGTTGTTGAGAGCATTCTTGTAAGTAAATTAAAGAGTTTTCCCGCGTTTCGGAGAATAGCGGGAAAACGTATGATAGCAACGCGTTTGAATGGCTATGCGTAGTAATAAAAGGTGGACCATAGGAATGCAGTATAAAGGGTCAATGTCGTAAAGATAAGGTCATTCTAAGCCAGTCTCATTTTTTGTTTTGGCAAAATTATATTTTTATTATGAATAAGTCCGATAATCACCCCTAGACGTTACTAAACACTTGCGTTTGGACACAGGTTTTTATAGTTTGTTTTTCTTTAATATTTTATCTATGGTTTTTCCTGCGTGGTTTTTAATGTCTATTATGGGGATACTTTATATAAATATTTAAATCATGGTTTAGTTAAATAACAAGGATTTGTCAATTTGTCTTGTTATGCAGCATGTATTTGTAATAAAAATAAAAGCCTGCTGCCTGCCAAGCTTGTTTGGCTCACACCTAAGTTATTTTATTGTTATGTATAAAAGAGGGTTGAAGGCATTCTTATAAGTGTATACATAAAGAATTATATAACCTCCCTGAAGGGCATCAGTAAAAAGGGATTACAGTGAAAATGAGTAAAATCCCCCTCGCCGAACTTGATTTAAGAGTTTGATATTTCTGTTTTTCATACTACTTGTTAGGTCATTATTTACACACTGAATTGTCGACGGATTTTTCCGTTATTTCCTGATCATGACAAGGAGCAGACGGCGGGTGTAACCGGTCAGCAGGGGATGCTCACTCCTCCATGGCACCTGCTCTGCTCCAAAATTTGTATTGTTTAATGGACATTTAAGCTTGAATACTGTTCGTTATCTCCATATATTTCATACATGAGTTTACTATAGGATGTTTCTATTTTTATACATGACAGGATTTTCCTTTCGTGCGTATATTAAACCAAGGTGGGGACGTGTTAAGCTGTGAAATAAATGATTACTTTTAAAATTCCAATTCTACGACTTTGCAGGTAAGTAGATATAAAACTTTAAATGACTGTGGTAGTGTTGTTGACAAAATAAGTCCGTAAAATACATGTATATGAACGAGATATGATCGAAATCGATAATCGCCACATAAATCCGTATGCAATTAACATCCGTGACCTACCTTTATATACACTTGGCATGTAACTAATGTAAACACAGTTGTTGCACAGGTATCATTTTTTGTTACAGATATGTTGTTGGAAGGTGGATACAATTTTATGAAAATTTCGGGTGGGTGGCATGCGCAGTCCTCAAAAAACACAAAGCTCTGATATGAAATGATATGTAAATTTTATAGCATTTCCTGTCCTCATACCTGGGGATAGACATACTTGTATACGTATTCCGTACATCAACGGATATTAATAGTGTTACAATGAATGGATTATTAACGGAAGACCCCCTTTCTTTCCCTAGTAATCTGTATTGAAGTCATTGCAACATAAACAACAGGATAAATAGGATAGGATTACGTGTTGTGAGGTTAAATACATGGCCTGACTTAACTGTAAAAAATTCCCTGTTAATAAAATGTATTTTAGTGTAGGCTTCTAATGAACCAAACATTCTGTATGCTGTAGTGTTATTTTTTTTTACTGTATTGTACTGAAAATTTGTCATTGCCAAATCGGCTTTATTACCTTTCAGCGTGAATTGCCTATTAAAACCATCATGAGTAGATCAAGATATGGACTAACGTCACTGACCCAAAATCGATGTGGTAAGTTACATATCTATACGACAGATATTGTATTGTGCGCATTAAGGGTATATAAAGAAACAAAAAATAATAGATAACCCCTTTAGAGATATAAACTTAGCCTATAGCTATTTTTATCTTCTTTAATATTTTAAATGGCTTGTTTCAAAAATTTGAGTCGCCCGCGTGGCGCAGTGGTTATAATTAGAGCGTCTGCTCTAGAGTCTCGAAGTAAGGAGTTGATCCTTACCTCGCGGGTTCGAATCCCACTGTGGGACGTGGAGACCGGTCCTTCGGATGAGACCGTATAAACCGAGGCCCCGTGTCGCAGTAGGTGCTGGCACGAAAAAGACCCCTCACTGCTCAATGGCCATAAGTGCCGAGTATAGGACAAAATTTGCAGCTCTCCACCGGCAAGTGGTGGCGTCTCCATACGAGTGAAAAATTCTCGAGAGGGACGTTAAACAACATACAATCAATCAATCAATCAAAAATTTGAAAGTCTCAATTCAGGAAGTAATTAAAATTATCTGACCTTTGATTTTTCCTCTTAATAATATATGTAATTTATTTTTTTTTTCTATTTGAACAAACATTTTACAGTTCCGCTAAAGAAAATCAACATTCAGGTAGCGATTCATGGATTCATTGCCAACGTGACCTCTGACCTTCATTACATTAATGATTCGGACAAGAACATCGAGACAGAGTTTGTCTTTCCGTTGGACACCGAGGCAGCGGTCTACAAGTTTGAAGCCAAGATAGACGGCAGGACCATTGTAGCAGAGGTTCAGGAAAAATCACAGGTGGCTATGCATTTTTTGTGTTCAAAATTTAATTCATTTTTTTTTTTTGAAATACATCTCATCTTTTTAAATTTTGTTGATTAAAATCGTAAAAGGCAAAAGAGACATACCGTGATGCTATTGATTCTGGCCATACTGCCATGTACATGGGAGAAGACGACAACGCTGGAGATATATTTCGTCTCAAACTCGGAAATCTCCCTGCCAAGAAAGATGCTAAACTCACATTTGCTTATGCAAAGGAGCTGGATTTGTCCTCCGATAATACAGGGACTTTTATGCTCCCAACAGTTCTTAATCCAAGATATGCTCCGGATTGCTGTAAGTCTGAAAGAAAATTAATCTCTGAAATCGTTTTCTATATACACAACTCAAAGGATAAGGGGAATCGATTTAAAAAAATCATTAATTAAAGTTTCTAGTAATTTATCTAACACTTTGAAATGAACTGTTTCAAACACGACAAACCTGCAATATAAGGTGTCTTTTTAAATTGTTTACCTTCTGTCTTCCAATGATTAGAGCATTAATTAGCTCTTTTTACAAAATTTGCTAGAGTGAAAAATTTCAGTTATTCTCCAAATGTATTTTTAATACCCACAAGCGGGTCGAGGGTTATGGTTATGGGGGTGTCCGTCAGTACGTCGGTAACAATTTTGGGCACACATCTTTTACACGCAATACCACTGAATAAAATTTAATGAGACTTTTATAGAATCTTTATTACATATTAAAATTGTACACCTATTTTTTGTTTCGGTCGGACAGATATTTTGGGTTTTCCATAGCAAACCCCGGACACTGCCATTCTCTCTTTAATATTGGGGTTACTCATCTCTTATCCGACACTCCTCTTTTTCCACTGAATGAAATTTAATCTGCATGCTCTTTATTACATAGTGCCACTGTGCACCTCCTATCTCACGTTCTGATCGGAAATATATATTGGATTTCTAACAGCAAAAAATGGACTTTGCCGTTTAACTCCGATGGGAGCGGGAGGTATCTTTTTTTTTTTTTTTTTTTTTTAGCTCAGTACTCACAGTAACTCTATTAAAAACTTAAAATGCCACAACTTTTATTTTATTTCTCTATTTATTCAAACACACAGAAATTGACAAACTGTCAATTTTTTTATTTTCTCATTTTAACTTGACTTAGTGCCATATGATTTCAGTACGTAACTCCGCCCGTTTCAATTTCTCTCACAGGAATTTGAAAGAAGAATAACATCTTGCGTAATTTTTAACGATAGTTATGTTGTTATAAAGACTGCTCTAACTTGTGCCTCTGGTATACATGTATATATATTAAAAAAAAAAACTCAATATTTCAAAAATTTAAGAGTGGTTGACCTTTAATCTCTGCAAATTTTCAATACAAATTAAAATACCACGCTTATATTTCAATGAATCAAAGAGATCTATGTTTTGATTTTCTTTATTTTAAGCATCAAACATGTCAAAAGATGAATCTAATCCAGATGAGAGCAATACAACAATGATCAAAACAGCTGAGAGCGATGTTGGAATGACATACTGTTCTAACTTTACAATGACAATGGAAGCTGTAGTTGATGGAGGTAAAAATCTTATCGTTTCTGGAAACAAGATGGAGTTTGATGTGGTGGCAGATACAATCGAAAATAAGGTATACTTTATATTAAACCCATGCGTACTGAAATCAAAGTACTGTGAGTACTGATAGACGGTGGCATGAATGATTTTGTTTGATTGTTTGTTTGTTTTAATTAAAACGTCCCTCTCGGGAATTTTTCACTCATAATGAGACGCCACCATTGCCATTGGTGGGCTGCAAATTTTATATCTACACTCAACACTCAGGGCCATTGTGCAGTGAGGGATCTTTTTTCTGGCCAGCACTTAATGCGACACGGGACCCCAGTTTAACGGTCTCATCTGAAGGACCGGTCTCCACGTCCCGCAGTGGGATTCGAACCCGCGACCTAAGGATCGACTCCTTACTCCCTGACTCTAGAGCAAACGCTCTAATTACTGGCCACTGGCATGAATGAATTAAATTAAATAAATTAATATGAGAATCTGTAAAATGATCTGGAAATTATGAACGTTTGTTGCAATTTTTTACAATACATATATTTGATGAGTTATTTTATATTTGGGTCAGTATGATGAGGACATGTATTAATTGAAGTTGTTAAACAGAAATTGTGATTTTATAATTTAAATTCTTATACTCAGTGGTTAATTATCAAACTTTGCTAATCTGGAGTTAAATTGAACTCACAATATTAAAAAAACAACAAAAAAACTAACTTTTCTTAAAATATATGGTAAAAAGGGAAATGATGAATCACTTTTGGCGATGTACTGTAGATCGTGCGACATAAATCATATGCTGAAAGATAATGAAATAGAATTTATCTTTGGATCCCCTAAATTAAGTCAACTGAATTCGCAAGAAAATCTTAATATTTCATGTACATGCATTTGTGTAGTTTTTTTTTTCTTACAGTTTTTAAAGGGTAAATTTTATTCGAGTCACGATAGAATTTTCAAATACAAATGAAATATATGGGTAACTTTTGTTCGTCACAGTCTTATAATTATAGCTTTGATAAATTAGCATCCTTTTAGTAGTTTTTGTGTCCGAGATAATTAGGCAATGACTTTTGTTTTTAGACAGAACCGAAATTAACTTTGCAAAATGGCATCGTATCTGCCTTCAACAACTCTCTTTTATGTAAACTTTAAGAGGACGTGATTTTTTTCCATTCCGAAAATATATCTTTTTCTAACACCGTAAAATTTCAATAAACTGTATAAGTATTATTGTACAAAAATTTCACAAAACGTCTCAAATAAAACATGCAGTTCTGCAACAAGGAATACGCAGTCCTCGAATCATGTTAACTGAATTTTCGGAAATGGAGAAATTTGGGGATGGGGATTGACGCTTTCCAAGCATGGAGTATCTCGTAATTAGGGAATACCAAATTGGGAACATCTAGTATAATAAGTGTTTGTCACACATCCAACAGCGAAGAAACCGCCGAGAGTGTGTTGGTTTAACAAAAAATATTTTATTTCCTAAGATGGTAAGGTGTAATGTGAAACCATTATCCATAAATATTTTTCCCCCAGATTTTTTTTTTTTTACTTTTAATAAATTTTATTGAAATTTTACATTTACACAACGTAAAAAAGGACGTGTATACGAACTAACTTTTTGCATTTGTTTCATACACAACAAACTTTATGTATGAATTGACTTTTGTGGTTTGCATACGAATTGACTCCTTATATATGAATCAGTTTTTGTACGAATTAACATTAAGTCGGTGTAGTTTAATGAATATTCATGAGGCGAGAAATATTAAAACGGGAAATATCAGGAATTAAACTTTGCGCCCATCAACGAAATGTCATTGAAATAACTTGAGAACCATGTACATTTTATTTTCGAACATCGAAACGACCCCACTTTCATTATTTTGACTCTGCAAAAGTCGCCGCTAGGGTCCCCGTGATTTTACACTGTTGTTTATTCATCGCCCAGACCAGCAGCAATAGCCTGTGGCTATAAATAGCCACCGTCTAAAAATAAAACGTATTTGGATGATAATTTTGAAATGACATTGAATTTCGTTACAAAGTTTGATACATGGCATACTGTACAACAATTTTTCCACCTTCTTTGAGATGATATAAGTTCCTTTGTTTCACGCTGATGTTTTCATAAAGTGAATAATTATGCCGCTGCTCCGAAAGAGAGGGGGGTATACTGTTTCTGTGTGTCTGTCTGTCCGTAACAAATTTTCGTCGCAGTTTTCTCAGAAACTATACATTGCAGATAGTTGGCATTTTAGCACACTCTTTGTTTTGGCATGCCAACAGACTTCTTGTTATTAAAACAGTAATTAAGTATACAATTTAATACAATTTAGAAATCTTTTTATGATTACAATCATTTTTACTTACAGATGACATCATCAAAACAGCTCAAACAAGGATGTGATTTCACGTTAGTTTTACACTACAAAGGATTTGAAAAGCCAGGGGCTGTGCTCGAGAAAGGAAAGGAAGACAGTGGAAGTAAATTAATATAAGCATATTTAATCTATTCACCGGTTCTTTTGTCCAATTTTTACTTTCAAATGAATTTCATATGATATATTTATCATTCTCTTTTCCAAAATTGTCCCTTATTTTCTTTACAGAATCGTTTTTATCGACGGATGTACTGATGATAAATTTTTCCCCAGAATTCAAGGATTTGGACACAAAAATGCCGTGTGAATTTGTTTTTGTAATTGATCGTTCTGGTAAGATTTAACTTCAAGCTTACTTTTTAAAATGGTTTTATATATTACGAAACATCAAAAACACTTGTATGAAGTTGTATATAAAATAAACAAAATTTAAAAAAATCTTTAGAAATTTGAATTGTTCATGTATTTTAAAAAAAAAATACTGACAACATAAATACAATGTATTTTACAAAAATATCACATCAATTTTTCTATTACCCACAGACTGTTTATAAGGTTTATATACATTGAAATAAACCCACAACTCTCCAGTCAGTTGTATAACATAGCGCAGGCATCTTCTGTCAGAGAAAAATGTGTTCTAAAAAAATGTTAATTGTTGTAAAGGAGAACTTCAGACGCACTGTGCTACAGCATATTCTGGAAGTGGTGTAAATCAGAAGTGTATTCTCAAAAACTCTAAAAACTTTTAGAAAATTCAACATCACCAATTTGTTTCATTGGTCAGTGACATCAAAACGTACGACTTTTCTACAATTTATACAACCATTATACATTATCATTATAAATTAAAAACTAGGCTTTTTGATATCATATAGACAACTGATTCTTTAATAAAAATGGAACTCGGAAATTTTCATAACTTGTGATTGGTCATCAACAAAATTACTTCGTTAAAAATTCTCTGATTCCTCACTTAAGTACTCTGAAGTTGATATTAAAAGGATGCTGGAGTTCCTTATTGACAGCATTTACGTAGTCTGTGGAGACCATGTCTTCCAACAATTAAACTGTTTGAATTTTGATAGGCACTAAGTGTGCTCCTTTATTATCCGACCTATTTTTTATATTCCTTTGAAGTATACTTTATTCAATACCTTTTACATGAGAAAAAGAAAACACTTGCTGTGGCCTTCAACCAGACATTCAGATATATTGACGACGTTTTATCAATTATCAATATAGTTAGTTTCATTCATACGAGATGCCGACTCGATATATCCCAGTGAACTTGAAATACAAAACACCACAGAGCCTGCCACATCAGTTTTTATGATTATATGTGATAAGACCAGCTAACAAGTAAATTGTATGACAAACGAAATGAATTCAACTTTTCCACCGTCAACTTTATTTTTGTAGTAATATTTTTCCTTTACCTGCATATTGTGTCTACAATCTTATATGATACACAAGAACATGCTCCGAGTACGATTAGTTTTTAAACCAATGCAGTTTACTGACAGATAAGTTGATGTTATAGGGATGTCAACTACCTCCTTTAGTCAGCATTTCACAAATTCTATGGTCGTTAAAATGACCTTGTTAGCAAATATATCCGATCATTAGGTCGTATTTTGGCTGATGTTTTTCATACAAATTGATAGGCCTTTGTTTTTATACTAAATATGACTAGGGAATATCCTGTCTACCTGTTCAATACGTAGGGCTTATGGCGGGATGCTAACTTCTCTGGAATTTCCCGAGGATCTGTGTTTTATGCCCTGTTAACAGATTTGCATTGTTTGTAGGTTTTTTTAAAGATCGATCACTGTTTGTTATTTTCATTTTTTTCAGAAACGCATGCCTTTTATATGTGTAAAACACATGTAAAATTTTCACAAAATTTTTTAATTGAATTTAACTTTTCTCCTCAAATCAACTAAGGTTTAGTGCACAAATCATCTGATATTCAGAAACTGAAGTTTCTCTATTTATTTAGGACATTTGTGCTTTAGAAATATGTTCTTATGCGGAAACTTTTTGGGAATATTTATTTTTACGGATTGGATAGCTCTAATTTTTGCACACTTCCTAGAAATATCCTAATCCAAAAATCCATGTGATCTATAGTGTTGTATAGTATATGTATTAGTGTACATATAATAAATCAAATTTTGAACAGGATCAATGAATGGTTCTCGAATTGAAAAAGCAAAGGAGACCTTACTGCTACTCTTGAAGAGTCTTCCTGTGAACTGTATCTTCAATGTCATCAGCTTTGGATCAAGGTTTTCTACTCTGTTCCCAAAGTAAGTAAGTTTCAAGCATTCTAAGAAGAAGCTATATAGATCCGAGTTAAATATATGAATCTCATAACATAACTACCGTTGCACTTTGACAAAAACACAGATTCAATTAAGTGCATAATTAATTGCCATCACCTTACTGAGATGCTAAAACATAATCCATACAAAGAAAGAAACTAGTAATGATTTAGTTCGCTTTTATTGAAGGAGTGTAGAGTATAACGAGAAGAATTTAGAGGAAGCTCTGAATCTACAAAAGAGAATGAAAGCTGACATGGGAGGAACAGAAATCTTCAAACCACTGGACAATGTTTTTAGTAATAAACCGTCTGGTTCCTATGCTAGACAAGTAAGGCATTCATATTTCTTGAACAATTTTCTTGAAAATGATCAGAATTATGCAAAATAATATATGATAAATCCTTTATAAGCACAGTTAAGTAAAATCGAGAATGGTTTGTTTATGCACTTGAGATGAATTGTTTAAATGAAGAGGCAGAAAAATCTTCTTGCTACTACAGCAACTTTTAATAGATGCATGTACTTACATATTCAAGACAATTTCAAAACCTATCAGTCAAACATATAAAATTTAAATATTCCAAGCATAAAAATGATATTTCAAATTATACATATTTTCTATATGACAACTCTAACATAATAATGAACTTTTTGTTTTAAGTTAGCTCATTTACAGGAACTAAAAGCAATTTTTAGTGTAACACAAGGACATTTTTAGGTTTTTCTGCTGACGGATGGAGAAGTTTGGAACATCCCAGAAATAATTAAATTAGTGAAAAAGCAGAAAAATACGAGGTATAACATGCTTATTAAATGTATAATTACCTTTCTTCCCCATCAGTCGATTATTTTGGATAGAATGTAATTCTTAAGGTAGATCGCGGGTTTACTGTCTATCTGAAAACGTGTGCTAAAAATTTGTCAGCCAAATTTTTGTTTGTGAAATTTCTTTGAGATTTGTCTGCGTGGTTATACTGTAATCGTATTTCAAATGCACTGATGTTGATGACGCTATTTCAATGAATTATATAGTAAAATGCGCCTTTCACGTCGGTATACGCTTATCAAAACCATGCTCATAATATTAAAATGAAGCAGACGAATTTTATTTTACTCAATGCAATGAATTTGAAGTCAATTTAGAATCGATTTATTAAAAAAGGACATGTGTTCTAACTCAGTTTCTTGCGAAAAAACTTTAGAATTTTACAACTTTCCTACAAACGTGTTATATTATCATCATGACGTTATATTACGTTTGTGAGACGACATTATTTTCGTATGCCTGCGCGACCAGAAAAAAATTATGAATTAATCAACAACCCATTCAAAATAAAGCATGTAATCCGTAAATTCAATTTTTATTGATTGATGATAATGTTCATGTAAAAGTTGCCATAGTTTGCCCTCAATAAACTCAAGAAAATCTTGTTTATAACATGTACATGTCTATAAAAAGATAAGTATCTATAATTGGATTTGATTGCATTTGCAAACCTATTTTAAATTATTGTTACCCATAACAAAATGTGCCAGACTAGTTTTATGAAGATGTTAACCTTAGGTTTAAAACATATTCTCAAATTATGTGTTTTATTTTCATAAATAATGTTTTATTTAAAAAATTTACAATGTCCATCCAGTCTTTATTAACATATTTTATTAGACATTCACATTATGCATTTATTAATAGCAAATTTTTAACCCTAAAGTATTTTATTAGCAAATAAAACACTTTTTTTCATTTTCTATGAAAAATAGGAAAAACATTCTTATCAAATGATTAAGAGCTAATATTGGCCTTTTAATGCTGAAACCACTACTTATCATATCTTAAAGTTATAAAAAAAAAATTGATGTGTAATTCCTCGTTATAAATATAAGTGTCTCTCTGTAGAAAATATCATGTTAACATGGTTTTATTTATATGTTGTCTTTATATGCAGAGTGTTTACCTTTGGTATTGGAGATGGCTGCTCAACAGAACTGATAAGGGAAGTCGCCAAAGTTAGCAATGGAAAAGCTACTTTCTTAAAAGACAGTGATAGATTACAATCTAAGGTATGGTGAAAAAGACAAACATTGATAATAAATCCAAAGGATAAGAAAAACCTACAAAGAAGTATAAAACAATATCAGTTACCAATCTTATTTCTCGCCATTTTAACGAGTTGATGGTATCAACTCGTGTTATGTGACTTGTAAGGGATTCCCCAAGGTATCGAAACTAATCACATTTTCGTTTGAGTAATTTGCGTTCGGGTTCTTGTACAATATTGGTTTATGTATAGTTTTATAATCTACAGAACAAGAATATGTTTCTTGACATATTGACATACTTTGAAGTGTTTATAAACATAAATGTTTATTATTAATTTTATTGGAATTTGTGTCCATCCGCGAAAGAAATTAGTGTTAGGGACATGCGGTCAATCAAAGTGACATGTCGTGCAAACAAAGTTTTGATTTATAAATCAATAAATGTTTTATATAATAAGAAGTATTTTGAAAACAGATTTTTAAAGAAAATTCACAAAATTGAACATTGTACAAACCAGGTTATTTTTAAAAGATTGACGTGCTAGTGGTGCTGTTATGCTAATGAACAGAGCAGTTGTCCCGCGTTAGTGATGAATCATTCAACAAAGAGAACACACTTCTTATGTTTGTAAACAAAGCGAGAAGTTTGCAGTAAAGAAGGTAGAAGTAAATCAACTATTAATCTCAAATGAAAGAAATGAGCTATACTAGTTGAAAAAACAATTTCGAAGTTAAAGTTTTTATTTCTTGTGCAAGCAATAAAAGATTTCGATTTCTTCAAGGGTTAGATTTTTTCAGCGGCGAACAACTTTGTGCTCCATTTTCTTTTTCCCTGTTAAAAACACTGTTGAGAATTCCTGCCTTCCACAATCTAGATCTGTTTTAAAGCAAGCTTTAAATACAGCAATGGTCACTTAACACGCCTGTGATGATTGTCGGCACTACACTGGAAAGTGGTTTCCTTTAATATGTCCAGCTGTGTTTTGCTATCAGATGCTGGCCATGTTATAAGGTGAATTAATAGTACTGAAGGCAATAAATAAAAACAAAAACAAAAAAAATTAAGTGGGGTGTTATTGACAAATTAAATGTGAAATGCATATTTATAAATGTGAAATGATCAAGAAAGTAAATTAATTCAAGAGTAGATAGATCATGTAAATAGTCAATATCATGCCATTGTGATGAATTTAAAGTCTTCAGTCGAAAAGCCGAAAGAATTGAAATTTTTAAACGTGCATACATGTATCAATGAAAGTCAAGTAGTTGAATTTCAAGAAAGGCTAAACTGAGAGAAATGATATACAAAATGTGCTTATTTCAGTTAAATATCAACAAGTTGAATTTCAAGAGTAGCGTAATCAAGAGAATCAAAATGTTATTGCGCATATCAATGATCATAAAAGACAGGGGGTTGAATTTCAAGAGTGGCTAAATTATTTGATTTGAAATCATTTGTGCATGTAAATTTTGAAAGACAAGGAGTTGGATTTCAATAGTAACTAAATCAAGAAAATTGAATTATGAAATATACATATGAATGAAAGTAAAAGATATGAATTTTAAGACTGGCTTAATCAGGAGAATGGGAACATATTGACGTGCATTGAAAATGTCAAATTGTTTGTCGATTTAAGAAAACAGTGAAAATATTCAATGAGCATGTTAATGGAATTTGCGCTATTTGTAAATAATAATTCCCTACTTGTAATACTATTATAGGTTTGGCCTATTGGTTTGAGATATGTATGTTTAAAGCTTTTTCTTGTTTTTTTTTTTATTGTTTTTTTGTTTTTGTTTTTGTTGTTGTTGTTGTTTTGTTTGTTTGTTTGTTTTTTTTTGTCTATTTAGGAGTTGTTTTAATACTGTAATATGACTTTACAACAGTTGTGCCATTTTTCTCTATTTGAAATTTCTAGTCTCTTGATATATAATATTTCTGTCAAATGATATCGAGTGCCCAAAAACTGTTCTCTGTAGTTTTAATGATGATAGTCTGTGACCATTTCAATGGTGGTACATGTATCTTTAATATTTCGAATTTTGTAAAAATACAAATTACTTTAAATGCAAGCTACATTGTCATTTTATGAAAAATCCCAAAACTAACTAGTACTATTTGTTTTCTATGTTTAAAGGTTCGATTTGTGATAAATTATTATACATTCCAGTAAATATTAAAAAAGTAAATATACATGTTAAAAATACAGGATGGGAAAGGTGTAAATAAAATGATATAATTTTGTTTCTCAAAGAAAACAAAAAGAACAAATTTTAAAGTGATAGCTTTCATCATTGCACATAATATAACATACTCCATATATGGACTAGAGACCTCAACTCATTTAAACATTATATAATCAATACCATCAACTCGTAGTAGTACTTTCAGTACTTTGATTTGAAAATTAGAATAAAACAAATTTCCACACATTCTTTATTGGAAAAGGATATAAAGTTATATATATATATATATATATATATATATATATATATATATATATATATATATATATATATATATATATATATACAAAAGTCTACTTTTTGTCTTGTAAAAATCTCGATGGATGACGTGAATATTTGCAATTTACACAATCCCAATTTTGTATGGGGTATAAGCTTTATTTTGATATACATGTAGAATACACCATGATATTTGTGTAAATATTTAAGCTCTCCAGTGCAGTATTAGATATACATAATATATAATGTTTGCAAATGGGGGGGGGGGATATGAATGTGATAGAACAGTATTCATTTTCTTTTTCTCTTAAAATTTAAAAAAAACACTAAATTTTTGTTTTCTTGTTCCAATAAAAATAAATTGACTTTTTGAAATGATTAAATTGTTTTCATCTGATTTTAATATAATCCTGTGTACTATGCCTTGCTTTTATGTAGGTCATGTCTGTGATGAAGAACAGTGTACAATGTGGAATTACGGATGTGTCATTAACTTGGAACCTTCCTAAAGGTTGCTCTGTCATCAATGCCCCAGAAGAAGTCCCGCCAATTTTTCAAGGAGAGAAACTGATACTCTATGCAATTATATCAGGGGTTATTTCAAAGGTATTTCATTTTTACTTAGTATCTTAAAAGATGAAATTTAAAAAAAAGTTTAAGGTCACCCCACATATATATTCCTATCTATTTGCCTAACTAGTTTTACTACCCTCGTGGACTTTGAAGTTTGTTTATTATGAAGATGACTGAGGGCGCTAGGATAATGGATGGTTACCTCACATTTTATGCAAACATGGTTTTAAGAACATACTGAGCGAACACAAATCCCCTTATAATTGTAATCAAAACATGTGTATGATGACAGAGAGTGGACTGAGTATGGGGTTTGAAATGCATTTTTCGGGCACATGTAAATATGCCATAATTCATTAGCTACATTACCCCCATGGAATTACTGGATGAAGGCTCCGACGAAGAAGGAATTGCTCATCATAGTTTTTGAAACCCAGACCCCCAACTCTCGACGCTCCAAACCTAACATCGTGCATATATTTGAATAATCCTTGCACTAAATCAAGGTGAACGGCAGAGTAGATACTGCTTTATATGATAAAAGCATCTGTCCATTTTGCAATGCTATCAATTTTGACAGATGATTTAGTAGTTTTCCTTGTGAAAAGTTCCCCATTTTCATTAATGTTGATAGATAGTTCTTAGGGAAGAGCATTAGTATTGTGAAGCAGCAAAGCAAAATCTACATAAGGTGAACTTATTATTATTTTTGATTCAATATTTAGTGAAACATTTACTGCTAATTGATGTGTAATACATGTGCTTTATAGCATTTGAGGTGTACATTGCGATTCAGTATTGGCATTCTGAATAACATAACTACATGGAGATGTTGTAGGATGGACGCATGCAACTGTCGTTGGGAAAGGGGGGGGGGGGGATAGGGGTCGAAAACCATTCATCTGGCTATTTCCGTGGGACTGTTCGAAAACTTGGACAACCTCTGGCTCTTTTTCTGACCCCTGTTGGTCCCTCTTTGGATCTCTTTGACCTTTGCTTCGTTGCTCGCAATGGCGTGTCCTTACCCTTCTTCAATTTTACTAATGGCATTGTGATATTACAAACAAAATAATAATAGCAATATTACTATATGAAATTACACTAAACGTTTTACAAAATGTCAAAGTAGAGCCGCGTTTGTTCGGATTTTTGTTTTAATCGATTTTAGTCTTACGAAAATCGACCATTAAATACTGCCAATCTAAAACATCGTTGTAAAGAAACATTACCAATCATTAAAGATTTTCTTTTAAACAAGTCTTCAAATAAATTAAGCAGAATTGTGATTATTTTTGTTGTTGTTGTTGAAATTTTCAAGAGCTTGACTTCAATGCTTCCTTTCTGTTTGAAGCGCATGTATAAAAGGATGTTTATACCAAACCCGATCATGTAGGCCGAACTCGAACAAATATTAAAGACACTTCCTCATAAGATAAAGACATCCATATTGTATTTTCATTTGGATAGATGATATTGTATTCTATGTCGAAATTTAAAAAAAAAAAGAAAAAGAAAAAAAACAAACAAACAAAGCTTTGATTTTGAGCTTTACAGGTTAGAGTCTGTCTGTATGTCAATTTTTAAAATAATTTTTCAAAACACTACTCCTACAGTATGGTCCAATTTTGGTGCGACTTGATAAACAAGTAGAATATACTAAGATACTTAATTCTTTTTATCAGTTTTTGATTTCGACAATCGATGTTGCCATGGTAACTAAAAATAAAAATCTCTTTGAAATTCTTTGAAAACGTTACTTGTGATACAATTATGGTTCATAGGGGTAAGTAGACTGTACTAAGATTTTCGACAAACGGAGTTACCATGGTTACTAAAAATAGAAATTTCTTCAAATATTTTGATGTACATGTACTACTCCTTCTACAGATATTGGTCTGATAATACCTGTACAAAGATTCATCTTTCTTAATAATAAGTTCACATCAGTAGACATACAGTCTCGTCAGAGACTTCTGGTTTAAATAAAACTTTATTCTACATTATTTTTGGAAATTACACAAAGAATACATGTACACTGTACATGTGTGTTAGAAAAATAATTTATGAATAAAGACAAAAACAGTGGGACGGACAACTTCGGAATGGACATTTTTTCGAACTTGTGCACCCTTTTCCCTTTAAGCTTTCTTCTTGGGATTTTTTTTAAATGATGGGAGTTTCCACCTTAATCCATTTATGAAATAAAAATACGTTTTCTGCTAGTAACAGAAATAAAAATGCCGTGGGGAAACATGTACTTAAATTATCCTTGGAGACCGGGGGTGTATATTGGTGTGGGTGGGGGAGGAGGGTTCTGTCAACAAGCACCTGTGCAATAAAGATCATTCTATATACTGTATTTAGTATGTATGTGTATTCTCCATTTGGAGCCTAGAAAATAAAGTTATATTGTACGTTTGACAGTGATTATATCTTCAGGTTTCCTAAACACTCCGCTTACTAGGACCCGGGGTGTTCAGTGGGCTTTTTAACATGACCCCCCCCCCCCCCGATAAATTCCGTAGCGTTAGAGTTAAAAAATCAGCGTCATAGTTCCCCCACAGTAAGTCGATAAGGAAGATAAATGTTTAAATTTTAAAATAATGCCTTCCAAATTGTGAACCGTTTTTCAGTTTCTACTCTAAACCGTCATTTGCACCATCTATTATCTTCTAGACCTCGCTGGACTTTATACATGAATGAGGAGAGACAAGCTATTTTCTTTTATTTTACTGAGACTGGAGAGAGACTTGATGAAGTAAATATCGGTGAAGATAAATGATTGCACCCCATGATATCTGACACTAAAAAAATGATAAAATAAAAGCAGTCGAAGTGGATTTTTGCGATAAAACAAAATGCATACATATATATATATATATATATATATATATATATATATATATATATATATATATATATATATATATCTATCTCCCACCGTTGTAAAATAAAATTCTAAATGTTTGAACAGCAATCTTCTAAAACACAATCGATGAAGCTGACGGGTAAGGCAGGTGACAAGAATGTGGAATATAAAATGGATTTTGTCTTGAGCACCAGCAAGTCTGACGACACAGATGAATCATGTCCACTTCATAGATTAGCTGCTAAATCCAGATTATCAGAGATGGAAACAAATAATGCTGATGGTAATGATCAGTCATTGTAATCATCGTTACATTATTTTTTTCATTCAGTTTTCCAAAAATTAATTTATTAGTGATGAAAGCAGTTCAATTTCCTCTTTAAAAACTCTTCTGACTAATATTCTCTAGTCAAGGTAAGCATAGTGGTTTGGATCTCAAACAACAGAAACAAAATCAAAATGATCATTTAAAAAGATGATTTCGTAATTTCTGAAAGACAATATTGCAACCTCGATCAGTATTATTTTGAAGGTAGAATTTAGCAATAAAAGATTTCAATTTATATATCATTTTGCGGAATTTATAAAAATATATACATGAAAAAACACAGCAAAGTTATTTGACAATCAAATACAAGGAGAATAATAGAATAGAACTAGCTATATGTATATGTCCCAGTATATAATGAAATAATTTACTCTTCATATCTTTGGTCAATTTCAGAGAGATTGATGGTGGCCTTAAGTACAGAAGTCAATGTAACGTGCAAGCATACGGCGTTTGTTGGTGTAGATAGAAAGAGCAAAGAAATTGTAGGAAAACATAACGACATAGAATACTTTGAGGAAGAACTTAACGAAGCTCAGTTAAATTTAAGTGTACGTTCATTCGCAGCACCAAAGTTAAAATCTGCACCAGGCATAATGGGGAAGGTGACAAATTTTTGTTCAAGTGAGTGCCTAGAAACTCCTTTAAATCTCCTTTTTGTAAAACAGAAAAGCTATAAATTGCTATTGACATTTTTATATCGTTTTGGAAATGTTTATGTTGAACAGGTATTTTTCCAATAAAGAAGAAAAAGACAGCTGTTTTATCTCGCAGCACGAATTCTCCTGTCATGGCAATGAAAAGTGCCCAATGTTCTTTGTCAGCTGATGACATGATGGACCTTGACATTCCAGACTTAGGAGACCTAAATTTAGAGAGTGGTAACATTCGTTATATGTACAAAACGTTGTTCTATTTGATTCTCTTAATTTTGACACTTAAAAACTATTGATGATATAAATCTGAACAATAACTACACACCTCCGTAGCCGTTTTTAAATGAAATGATTTCCAGTTGAATCTTACACGTTTACCAAAGATTCTTAGAAGATTTTTTAATGTAACAGAGATTTCAATCCATTCTTGCATGAAAAGTGCTTGTTTTTCACATAATTCTTGCATGCTTCTTACAAGGTTTGTTTACAATGCTTAGGAGGATTACGCAAAACGCTACAAGGTTTATAAGAAATGAAACAAGCCTATCATGAATCATCAAGACGCCCATGGGTCACATCGCTGACCTGAGCACATTGGCTAGGAAAAAGCAGAAATCAGTTCAGTATTGAAACGTTTACAGGGATTGGGGGGTTGGGGTGGGGAGCTTTAGTTTACACTACCTCAAAATTCTTCCATATCAATATTACTAATCAAGGCTTTGCTGTTCTTGAGCAGAAGAATTTTAAAGATTTTTTTAATTGTATTCCTGTGTAAACCTCTGGTCGCTCATTTTGGCCCCACCCTACCCACCCTTAATTTGAACAAATTTGAATCTTTAGTAACTGAAGATGCATCTATAATAATATAACTAATCATGGCTTTGTAGTTTTTGAGCAGAATTTTTTTTCAAGAGGATTCCTATATATTCTTATGTAAAAACTTTAACCCCCCTCCCTAACCCTTTGGGGTTGTAAGTTGAACAAACTTGATTCTACCTAAGATTGCTTCTGTTTAAATATGACTAATAATGGCTTGGTTCTTCCTTAGAAGAAGATTTAAAAAATATATTTCCCATATATTCCTATGTAAAACTTTGACCCACTGTTGTGGTCCCCGCCTTACCTCCAGTGGTTAGGATTTTAACAAGGGTGAATCTACACTACCTGAAAATACTTCTGTATAAATATGGCTAATAATGGCTTAGCTGTTTTTGAGAAGAAAATGTTTAAAATATTTCCTATATATTCCTATGAATTCTTTGACCCCCTTTTGTGTCTGCACCCAACCCCCAGGGGTCATAATTTGAACAAACCTGAATCGCGTGAATCTTCACTACCTGAGGATACTTGTGTATTAATATAACTAATAATGGCTTAGCTGCTCTTGAGAAGAAGAATTTGAAAGATATTTCTTAAATATTCCTATGGTAAACTTTGACTCTCTGTTGTGACCCTGTCCTACCCCGAGTCATGATTGGAACAAACTTAAATCTACACTACTTGAGGATACATCATCGCTTTGATGTTCTTTAGAAGATTTTTAAAGACATATCCTATATATTCCTATGTAAAACTTCGACCCCCTCTTGTGGCTCCGCGCTACCTCCGGGGGTTATATGAACATATTTAAATCACAAGTATGTAATGAAGCTTTCACATAAGTTTCATCTTTTCTTGCCCGGTGGTTCTTTAAGGTTTTTAAAAGATGTCAGAACATTTTTCTCGAATTCTTAATTATTTCCCCCTTGATAGAGGACGTGGCACTTCCTGTGAACAAACTTAAATCCCCTTCACCCAATGATACATTGTGGCAAGTTTGATTGAAATTAACCCATTGGCTCTGGAGAAGAAGTCGAAAATGTGAAAAGTTTGCAGACGATAAACGACAGACGAGAGACGGACGCCGGACAATCTTTGATCAGATCAGCTCTTTTGAGCCTTCGGCTCAGGTGAGCTAAAAAGCGCTCGAAAGTCACATGCAACGATGACAGCAAGGCATCTCGAAACTTCTAAACTAGGATGAAGAATTTGCACAAATCAAAGACAACACTCAACCCTTTGTACGAAAATTATTTTAAGAGGATTAACAAGTAATTAAACTACATTAAGTTATTTTAATCTGTATTTCACTACGATGGTTGTCCGGTAGAATGGTGGGCAAATTATCTAGAATGGAAAATAAAGTAACACTGCTTATTTAAATTTTCACGACTTTTTAAGCACATTTTTCATTAATATAAAATTTTCAAATATAAAATTTCAAATAGATATATGCTAAAATAAATTAAATATGGGATTTTGTGTTATTATAATAGATTTTACATGGTTATAATAACGTTTAAAATTACGCTTCATCAAAGTTGGATAAGCTCTCTTAAATGTGGGAATTGCATTAATGAACAAGCTTGAGTTCCCTTTATTCCTCCATAAACAAGCGAGGGACCAATTTCGCACACATTCACACATTTGGGACCTTCTTAAGATTAGTATATGATAGTAAGTTATCGGCAGAACTCTTTCTACATTCAACTTACTATGCAGACTTTTTTACGACGGTGTGCAATCTTTTGCTATTTCTAGTAGCTTTTCGACCGTATGTTTTGTTCTACACGGGGAACGGGGACTGGATGAGAAGATTGAAAAACTCAAATTCCACTTTGTGGACTAAAGATCTAGTGATATTTTCATATTTTTTCGTCTATTTTCATTTAAAGTCTGTAAAGGCGTCATTACTAAATCTACGTGAAACTGAAATGAACTTTGGTATTCCATAACGTCATAAAACATCAATAATTTTGTATTTTGTTTACCAATTTCCCATTTCAAATGCTGGGAAACTGCTGAAATATAAGAAATGCTTTGATTGATTGTATGTTGTTTAACGTCCCTCTCGATAATTTTTCTCTCATATGAAGACGCCAACACTTGCCGGTGGAGAGCTGCAAATTTTGTCCTATGCTCGGCACTTACGGCCCTCGTATCTCCATGAATTATATTCATCATCCTTAATTTTATTAACAGAATCTGCAGAATGTTCTTGTGACGAATCTGACGTACTTGAAGAACTTGAGGACTGTGAAGAACTTGAGAACTGTGAGCCCGAAAAACAAAAAGGTAAGATTTAGCCTCATTTGAATGCATGTCTTGGTGTTGAAATTATCATCAGAACTCTAATCCATCGCCCCTAAGTTCTCGTGCAGATTACAATAGGAATGTATTTTATTTCAAAGTGAAATGAACTAGGCGAAAATATTTGTTTCTAAATTAGTATATTTAAGTTCATATTTTTCGACCTATGCTCGGCACTCAGGGCCATTGAGCAGTGAGGGATCTTTTCGTGCCAGCACCTACTGTGACACGGGACCTCGGTTTATACGGTCTCATCCGAAGGACCGGTCTCCACGCAGCTTAGTTAAGGACTTAGTTAAGGACTCCCATATCTAGGTCGGCCTATGCAGAGGTTCGGGAAAGCTATTATGACGTCACGTTAAAATAATTCAAATAAATCTCGATGAATAAATACTATATATTCTTTTTAAAACACGCTAAAATACTTTCGTTTCTCATAAATATTACAAAGATAAATGGATGTACAACTTATCTTGCCAAAATAGCACTTTGAGTATGTAGAATGAAAGCCAGCTTGATCTCGCTGTACTTACTGAGATGACGTCATTTGTTAGTCTGACACGCAGTTTCTCTGTATTTGAGGCGTGGATCAAGCTATTATCGTAGCTTGTAAAAAAAAAATAAATACTAAACAAGCTTAATTGGACCAAAATAAATACATATTATAAAATATATTAATCCATATTTTATTGTCAAACTAAATTGATAATGTGTAGACCTTATATATAGCCGTAGCGAGCACATTTGTACAGTAATGTGCTAGAGTGAGGGGTCCAGTCCCTCGAAAATATCAAAAGTTCAACGATATCCGCTTCGCTATAAATTCTGAATTTTTAAACATGTGTAGCTATTAATCCTACTATTCTGAAAAGTGCTGGGAGCTGGTTGTACATTGTTTTTTTTATTCCGTAATGTAACATTATTCCAGTGCGTATTACATCTATGTCTGGAGTTTATAGAGAGACGGCTAAATTTTACATAATTCCCGAACATAAGGAAGTTGCTCCCAGCACTTTTCATGTTAAGAATTTTGTCTAAAACAAAAGAGAATAAATTTTATAGCAGAAAGATACGCGTATATCGTTGAACGTTTACGATCTTTGTGGTAGTACATATATGTTCTAATTTTAAACCTGTCACGTGAAAAACAGCTGATGTAAGCAATGTCGCTTTGACCGAACTCAGCAGATACCCGATATATACAAGTGCAAACACCACAATTCACATTCATCAAAACTAATGCTGTTAAAAAAAAATAAAATTGTATTCATTTTCTCTGAATATATTAAGGCGTATATTTTATGGGCGTCCTTAACCTAGCTGCGCACGTCCCACAGTGGGATTCGAACCCGCGACGTAAGGATCAACTCCTTACTCCGCGACTCCAGAGCAAACGCTCTAACCACTGCGCCGCGCGGGCGACGCATAATACAGTGAGAATTTGTAGCATTTAAATAAAAGAGTAAAATTAAAACAAATGTCATTGCCTTACAGACACTTCCAAAATAAATTCGTTTAACTACAAGTCATGATCAATTTCATCTCTTCGATTCAACCAAAACTGGGTTGTCTGGTTAGGACGGACTTAGGAATTTTTCTTTGGGGTGAGGGTGGGCATCCATTCCCATTTTAAAAAATGACAAAAATAACGCAAAAAAAAATTTCTTGGAGTTGAACACTTTTTATAGACTAGCCGATTTCCTTTTGATATTATGAGTCTTCTTATCAACTTACCAGCCTGTTGGATAGGAGGTCCAATATCGCTTTAATTACTTAAATATTTAAACTAAAGAAACTTTCAAAAATTGAAAAGAAGTAAACTTACGATACGTATCTGCAGAGTATGTTAAAAATCAGGTTGATTATTTTCCCAAAACGACTTTTTTCATAGAAGTAGACCATCTTGGGAAGATGTTGGAATTGATTGAAAATCAGAAATTTGATGGATCTTGGGAGTTAACAGAGAAAATCACAAAAATTCTCGACAAATCACAAGATGAAATAAAAACATCTGCTGTGGTACAGGTAAATTGAATAATATGCATAGCAAAACTTAATTTAGATTTGTTATTTTAAGTACATGCAAAACACTGCCTTACATTGTAAGTATAAATTGTAACAAGGCATGTAACTGGTTATTCAGTAAAGATTATTGTCATACACTTGGCACAAATACAATAATACCTTCTTCTTTCCACAGGATATCAGTGTTTGGACAACAGCTCTTGCAATTGCATTTTTGAGAAAATATTTCTTAAAACAAAGAGATGAATGGGAGATGATAGAAGAGAAAGCACTGTATTGGTTGAAAAACAGAGGTGTAGAGTGCAGAGATATCGTTCATGAAGCAATGGCATTTTTATTAACATAACATTTTGTAACTTAAGTACTATTTCTCGCCTGATAATTTGATTCTTTATGTGAAAGTTTTCCTATACGAATCTTGTACAAACGCTGCAATTATAATCACAAAAGTCTGAAGTTTCTATTGTGAAAAAGAAATACCGAAAGGAAATATTCTACTGCTTATTAAAAAACACCAGGATGGCAATGCGTTTTTGGGGAGACCTACCTAAAAATATGTCTGGGCTCATCCCTGACTCCATACCGGAAATGAACTCTGCAGTCAATAATTGAAGTCTAAAGAAGCATTTTTAAATAAAATAAAATATTTGATTCGATTATTTCAAAGATGACAAGAACAGTCAAAACGTATCGATTCCTTTTCTTCTTATATAACGATATGGTCCATATTTTTCACAAGGTACCAAATTTAAATGATCGAAAAGACCAGTAAACAAAATAATGATTCAATACGTTTAAACAGTTCGATTTAGCATCCTGGTTTTATATTCTTTTGTTTGAAAAATAAAATAGATAATAAATTTCTCAAATTGTCAAACATGTAGTTTGTTACACTCAACATAAATATTCACTGCGTAGTTCACTTCCGGTTGTGTGGCATGGAGTCAGGGATGAGCTGTCAACGTGGAAAAAAGGGCAGACACAGCACATAGTCGTCAAGCAAATTGATTTTTTTACTTGAATAAATAGCTCACACTCTCCGGTTGATGAATTAGCCGAGAAACTTCTAAGGGGTTAGTCCAGGCCATCCTGGTTCTTTTTGTACAGGATGGAATATTTTTTCACAATAAAATTTCGAAACTCGTATGAATTAATCAAATACAATCACTCTCATGCAATTGTTATGTCATTTTCGCACTGTATACGTACACATGCTGTAACTAATTTACTTTAATTTCTCCTCCAAATTTAAAAATTAAGTTATATTGTATATATAAAACGTACTCACATTGTGGGGATTCACAGTTTTAGATTAAATACTGTAAAAAAAAAAGAAGAGAGAAATCTATGAGCGCTTTCTTACATTTATATCTGGGATTATCAATATCTCAAATTCCGGACTGTGGAGTTCAAATTGTAAAAATGCGAGGTTTAGATTTTGAGACCTACGTAAGATGAAATAATACATTTAGTTTCCTTTAATGTTTGTCATAAAGAATAGTGCAACGCACTAGTCAGGCTACCTTCTTGAAATAAATTATTACATAAATTATAATTTTATATTATAGTTTTGATTTTAATGTATAATTCTTAATCAAGTTAATCAAGCAGCCTACATTTGTATATCATCGATTAGCTTTGTCTCATTATCCGTGCAATTAACAAAAAAATGCAGTAATTTCTTACTATTGTTTAATAAATGAATAAAGAATATTATGGGAGCCTCTTTTGTTCACACTTCAGCATTCTAAAATATAAAAAACGTAAAGTTATACGCTTACTGCAAGAGGGATGTTCGGCAATTATTGATAAATTTTCTTTAATTTCATAAAAGAAAGAGATCAATTCATGAAAACTCGACAACTTTTTATCAAGAACAATTTATACAAATGTGAAATCTTTCTCATGTATAACATAATTAGATAAGACGCGGTGAAATAATAAACTTGCATATTGTATTGACCTGGCTTCGGGGCCAACAACGTATAAAAATCTCAGCCTCAAATCCTAAATTTCTTCCTCAGCTGAGATTTTCCTAAAATGCCGTGACACGAACATTTCCGAGATTCGCCTCACGTTAGCTGAGATTTGAGAAAAATCTTATAATTGTTATAATTTTGCGATCTTTTTTTTTCTTATAATGCACAAATTAATTGAATGAAAGATTGGATTAACCTTTCAGTTTGCAGTTTATGCAATGTTTTTGTGCATAATCGCAAAAGGACACATCCCCCTGTTCCTTCATCCCTATCTGTCGTTTCGAGTCATTGAACGGTAAGGATTCATTACGACTTTTGCGACAATAATTATTGAGCGAGTCCCCGTTTAAAAACCCTACAGTAAAATAACACAAAGATATATCCAAGATTTGTAGACTTGGCTTGTCTGTCGACATAAACACACAATAACATAAACCGAGGCGTCACTTCCGCTATTGTGACGTTACGTGTAGAAAGATTATGAAAAGTAGATAGGCGGATCAAAACTATATTTTGCAATTTACCAATTAAAATTAATCAATTTGATAAAATTTTTCTTTCTTTTGTTTTGTAAAATGACAGACATGTCAATTACATTTAATTCGCCATAGCATAATTTTTTAGTCAAAGGAACTTTTCATATTTAGAATAAATAAATGATTTTTAAAGAGGTCAAAGGAATTAAATTTCACCGCCAAAATATATTTTAAATGCTGGCAATTCGCTGTTCAGCAATAAACCCTGAATGATTATTTTCTAGCCAATCAAACGCAAAATGCTCGACATATAGCTTAATTCCGCACATCATATTCTGAGTGTTCCATAAATTGTGCATAAGATTAAAAAGATGTTTCTACGATCCCCTGTAAGAAAAATGTCCCAGATATTAATTATTCTTCTTTTAAACAGTTCCACATACTGCGATAAGTTGCGTATCGAATCAACTTGAAGGCAAAAACCACATACATGTAAGGTGATAAGGGTTTAGCTACATTAGTTAGGGAAGTTGTCGATTAAAAAATTATCTTACCAGTGACGGAATATTTTACGACACAAGTGAGAAAAATACACTTTTTTCTCAATGATATTACGTTTAAAACGGAGGAGGGGCAATTATCATCTCCACCGAGGTAAGGAACTCGTAAGTAATTACCCTTACAAAAATGCTAGAATAGTAAATTATTAGTCCCCTACCGGTGAAACCGGAGGGGACTATAGGTTTCCTCTGAGTCTGTCCGTCCGTCTGTCCGTCCGTCTGTCTGTCTGTCCGTCTGTCTGTCTGTCTGTCCCTCTGTCTGTCTGTCAGTCTGTCCCACTTGGTTTTCCGCACCTTTTTCCTAAACGCTTGCAGATATCGAGCTGATTTTTGGTATGTAAGTGTATCTTGATGAGTTACAGATCAAGTTTGCATTTCGTTCCGCTTCATTGATATTTGACTGAATTACGGCCTTTTCAATTTTTACGGGTTTTCCGCAAATTTCTTCTAAACGCTTGTAGATATTGAGCTGATTTTTGGTATGTGGCTTTACCTTGATTAGTTATAGATCAAGTTTGCATTTCGTCCCGCTTCATTAATTTTTGACGGAATTATGGCACTTTCAATTCTTAACGGGAACGGAACCAGATTACACTTGCCGGTAGGGGACTAGTATTGCTAATGCAATACTCTCAGAATGCTTGTTATAATATAAATAGTTTAATATAGTCAAATTTAGTTTCTTTAGTATCAAAATTTTATATAGTTCGAACTATATAAATGAAAGTATTTTTACTAGGAAATTCAAATCGTTATTCTTCTCTTTTAATTTCTTTAAATTTTAAGTGGATTTTTAGGTATTAAAGGATGTGATGCTTGTATATTCACTTATTATTTCCAAAATTTATATAATTGCAATGGAATTTAGAGATATATAGGTTTGAACTCTTGAAAAAATTCTCAGGTAAAGTTCCATAGTAAATCAAAGTATTTAACTATAGTAAACTATAATTGAAAATTTATTGATTTTTTTTTTATTTATGCATTTATGTTAAACTTTAAACTAAAGGTTAAGACTGATAACATATATAATTTAATGTTGCTATTTCATTTAAGGACAACACCCACTTCTTTATTCTGATACATGCAGTTTTCAAAGATAACCTCCAACTTATTTTATATACTTCCTGTGCTGTGTTCAAAATTACTGCTCTTGAAAATAAGAAGCTTATTTTATATATACGTTAGCAAGGGATTGTTCAACTTGGTGATATTTCTGAAACATTGACTATTTGTCTTCCTGGTATTGTGTAGTACAAAATTGAAATATAAGAGGAACCCAGGTAAGGGATAAAGCTGATAGACCTGACATTTACAGATTAAAGAATGCTTGAATATTTTCTGAGTAAGAACAAAACTACATGTAAAAAATTGGGGTTATTTTCCTAATCCTTCCAGCCTTTTTTCCCCTCTCTGAATTTCTTTTCATTTTTCGATATTTTGTTCTACGTGAGACAAAAGTAGATAGTGGGATACTCAGTCTTTCAGAAGTATCATTTTTTTTTCAATCCTTTGATAATACACATCTACAACAGGCTTTCTGTTTACAAACGCAATTATTTTTAACATTGGCGATCAACAGGAATACAAAGTAAACAATTTTATTCATGTCATTGCATATCATGAGAGTAGCAAGTATTGCCCTTTGATTAAAAAAAAACAAATGATTTCAAAACTATTTAAAACTATGAATATTTAATTTTCAAATTATTTTTTTTTTAAAAGTATAACACGAAAAAATTCTGAATAATTTCTTGGAACACTATATACATATATTGATAAAGACACGATAATTTTTGCAATAAATTTTCAAACAACCACCACTTCACCTCCACCGCCCTTTTGTGTGATACTTGCAATTAACCTCATTTAACTTGTATATTTTTGATTATGAAAAATGTATAGATTTGACATTTGTTATTATTTGTTTGTTTTAACATTTATGTCCTTTAGTGCACTGGCCTTTTTGTGCACTACCTTTTTGC